TCCTAGATTTTGAAACTGCTACATGCAGAACTTCACTAAAACAATGGTCCCGATATTTGGGTTTCGGTTTTTTTTACTCACCCTCAGAGATGAAACTGGCCTTGGCAAAAAAAATTCTGAAATTGGACCCTGGGTCCGAGCTGCCACAGCGTTTCGCGGTGCAGTGCAGCGCATCAACGTGGGACCCAGTGAATTTGTCCATGTCATAGGTCAGTATTTAACAATTTCTCCAGCTGGAAAGGATCTGATCAGCGATGGTCTAGATGTTCCTACCGTAGAATCACTCCATTCACAACCGGTAAACGAGATTAAAACTACTTTACGTGCCTTTTTTTTGGTGAGATCGTTAAAAAATCTGAAATTTCATTGGAAAAGTTTTAAAATCTGGTTTCAGATTAAAATCTGAAAAGTTTCATCTGTGCACCCTGTAAAGGGTTGTCCATTTTTTAATAATTTAGTATTCGCGTACATGTTCCGGTTCATGTTCGCAAAACTGCCTTTGACCTAATATTCGGATATCCGAAACTGCAAGCTGCAACTGCGTACTGCACCGGTCGAAAGTTGCACGCAGACTGCATCATTTAGTTCAAATTTGCGTGCAGCGATCAATATGGGCCGTGTTTTGCAGTAAGTATTACATGTATCACTGTCAAGGGCTTTAACCTGCTGAAAGGATGGAAACAATGAACGGCCATCAACAAAAAAAGTTACCATCAACAAAAACAAGTGGCACCTGGCATTTCACAGCACTGCAACTTTACAATAAAATAACATTACATTTGTGTAAGTACGTGCACATTTTTATTTGAATATTCCAAACGGCAAAAACTATTCGAATATTTTGATGATTGATGATCGAATATTTGGTACATAGTAGGTGTAGGTGTACTACCTTGGCTTGAAAATTGATGTATTAAAATTGATGTATTCTTATTGCATTGAAAAGTTTTAAAAAGAATGAGCAACTTCAATATTTGGTCACCTTCTTTCTTTAAAGTCAAGCCCAGAATCCAACGAGTTCAAGCAAAATGAAAAAAAAGTATAACGAAAGAGGGTCAAGTAAAATAGCTTAGTTACAAAACAGTTGACAAAACAGTTGACATGTTTTAATCATTCTTTATTACAGCAGCCAGTTACGTGGGAGTGCATGATTATTGAATTCGGATGGAAGTGGCTCAAATGTCTGCAGGGCCAATCATTATCATCATCATCACCAGATTGTTCATGAGATGCACGTGTGCATGACGTGTTAAGACACCTACACGCGGGGAGGGAGGGGGGGCTGACGTACTCTACCAAATGTAAATTGGTTTTCCATTACCAGCATTCACAGGATCATATTTACGAAGAAAATAAAAGCCCAGAAGCGCCAAGAACATTAATGTAAGCACTAATAAATTGTCGGAGCAGTTTAATCAATCGGTTCTGGGCCGTAGCCAGTCACGTGGAAGTGTATTGACATTTAATTCGGCCAAAGTTGTTTAATCACGTCTATGGTGGGCGATGGTTGTCAACAGATCTCTGTGGAAAGCAAATGCCGTTCCTGATTCATGCATGGGTGTGTGCGTGAGGGGCATACATGTGGACAAAAGATGCCTCCACTTAATCCCTGTCCACATAAATACATGTGCAGACCTCAATGCACAACAGCTGGACAGAACTAGGGTACAAAGTCACTCACCAACAAACTTCAATATTTGCCAGAAGTCCTGTTCATACTTCATGTGAAAGCAAATGCAAAGCAACTTTAATGTCAAGAAGCAATCACCACAAAATTTGACAGAGTGAAAATGCGCTCGGACAACTCTTGTGAATTCACCGAGCTGACACTAACCATGGTGTGCTAAGTTTGTATTGACATTCATTTTCCCATGGAATACAAAACCGACCTTTCTTAAAATGCAAATTTGTTTTGCTTGTTTGCTGTTTGGACATCGCTCCAAGGAATTCCAAGCGATTGAATCCTCATATAAGCAAATGAGCACCCTCAAAATCACTCTGTTTTGGACAAGTCTCTGCGGGTTGGGGTTTGCATTCTCGAGTGCACTCCACGTGGAGGGTATAAACGGGTATCTGGCTGACCGGAAACAAACACTCAAAGATCAAAGCTATTTGATGGGAATTAAAATGTAATGACCTGATGATACTTTTTTTGACCAAAACAAGCTTGATAGGGATATTGTTAATTTGAAACAACCCTCACAAGTCATTAACGAAATTGTGAAAAAGGATTTTCTTTTTTTACTTTTTTCAAAATGGCTTGCAACAACCTTTCACTGAGACACACAAGACTTCATCAATGGCATTAGAAAGTTTCTAGGAAACTCAAATCTGTGCCTTTTTCCCAGCAAAACCTCATTTCAAATTCGACCTCTGGATTAGTTTTAACTCCTGATGATCGATGTACAAATATTGACAGTGGGATGGAAAGGGAGTTTCATCTAATCACGGTCAACTCTGATCTTTGAATCTACCATTTCCTGGTGTACCGGTTCAATTACATCTCAGGGCTGTCTGTAGACTGAAGAGATCAATCATACTCATATTGTACAAGTACCGGTACGGTACCTGTTGTACAATTCTATGAAATATGTCTCACAACTTAGCTTTCCTTAGTTCTTTTTTTAACCGAAAAATATAAAGGTTAAAGGCCAATTTACACATACGCGACAATGTCGCAAGACAACGTCATGCATTTTTATAAATACGCACAAATCGGTGAGTGTGTCTACATTTACGCGAATAAGTCATGCGTCTTATCACTCGTTCGTTTGTGCTTATTTATACAAACGTCCGACATTGTCGTGTGACAGTGTCGCTTACATATGTAAATCTGCCTTTAATCTCAAATAATTTTGCATCCAGTATCATGTCGCTAGTACTGCATGTCAGAGTCAAGTGTTTTTTCCCTATCTGCCCTTCAAACCACCCAGCTTACCATATCATGCACATAGCAACAAATGGCCGAAACTTCATTACATAATCTTTTTTAATGTCCATTAATTAAATACATGTATCCATACTTAATTAATCCATAAATTACACAAATGCAAAAACAAGCAAACACTTGCTGGGCTGCAGTCGCTTCAGTCACAAGTCCATCAAAGTCCGGTCTTATGTACATCACTAGGGATGTGCACTTATGGGTTGTACGGGAATCAGGTAACCGTTAAAAAACCCAACCCCAAAATTACAATCTCGGAAGTTGCTATTCAGATTGTTCATAAAGGTCCACACTTTAATACCACCATATAGGTGCATCAAAGTAGCAATAGACAAGTGTGTGTAAACAGTGATCTCTATAGCTTTACAGTATTAACTGCATTTTGGCAAGCGTAATAAACGTACATATCTGTCTTGTTTTTCCATGTACCCGATAGCCTGGTTTTCATTTTGAAAATTCCCCATAATTGACACTCAAAACCAATCTTTTCCATTGTCTGAGAAATTACTAAGTAATATAATTTGGTTACGGGTACTCGATTCCATAATCTGGAACCGGTTCCTGACATTAGTGGTTGGGTACTCGGGTACCCGATCGGATGCACAGCCCTGTAAATCACACGTCAATTCACAACTTTGGTAACAAGTAACCAGATGGACAGTAACAAAAGGAACACCTCTGTTACAGTTTACCTGAGTTAGCTAGCGACCAGACTTGGGACTGGATAACTTGTGATGGAATTGTGATGGAATTGTGAGGACATGTGAGGACTTGTGAGGACTTGTGAGGACTTGTGATGGACTTGTGAGGACTTGTGAGGACTTGTGAGGACTTGTGATGGACTTGTGAGGACTTGCGAGGACTTGCGAGGACTTGCGAGGACTTGCGAGGACTTGCGAGGACTTGCGAGGACTTGCGAGGACTTGCGAGGACTTGCGAGGAATTGTGATGGAATTGTGATGGAATTGTGATGGAATTGTGATGTAATTGTGAGGACTTATGAGGACTTATGAGGACTTGTGAAAACTTGTGATGGACTCGACTACAAAACTGAAAAATTATACACTTTTTCAAATGAACCACAAAGGGAAACTGACTACATGTAGGTGAAATGGAAACAATTTTTTGAAAAGTTCAACAAAGTAATTGACTGGGGAGGGGCTTGAACCAGCGACCTCCAGATTAACGTTCCGCTGCTCCATCAACTGAGCTATCCAGCCCTATGTTGGCAGTTTACTGCTATTTCTCAGGTCTGTATCGTGACTTTGGGCATGATCCTTGACCGCATGGCATATTCGGTTTATGTGCTTCTTACTAGCTCCCCTTGAACAAAGATATTGACAAATTGAAGTTCTGCCAACATAGGGCTGGATAGCTCAGTTGGTAGAGCACCGGAACGGTAATCCCGAGGTGGCTGAGGTTCAAGCCCCGTTCCACAATTTCTTTGTTCACCTTTTCTATACAAAATTGTACACCTGGGCGTCATCATCAGGGTGTTGGTCATGTACATGTATTACAGGGTTCGAAATTAGCTGTAGCCCGCTAGCCAAATGCTAGTCAAAACAGCGGCGGGCTAGTCAAGCTATTCCTTAACTAGCCCGGCTGGCGAGTGAAAATTATTGGGATACGGCAAAGATGAACGCACAGGAAGAAATAAATCATTAAATTCAGAAAGAAAACCCCATCAATTTGTTTCTAATTTTATCAACTGTTTTAAAGGCTTAAATTTTTAGATCTGTTAATCAAAAACACTGACAAAACTGCCTCAGAATTGAGCCTGAAAATTCGCCATTGTGTATTTGAGATAAGAAAAAAAATGCGGGCTAGTGAAAATGCCCGCGGGCTAGTTAAGAGTCCGTTTCAGTAGCACGCGGGCTAGTGAACAAATAAGTTAAGGTCGAACCCTGTGTACATGTGTGTGTCACCCATGAAATTCAAAAATCCTCTTCTCTGTGTTTTTTTTTTGGGGGGGGGGCTTTCTCCGTTTTATTTGTTTTGCGAGATTGAAAGCTGCTGTCTGCATGATTTCTTGAAGTACGATTGGTAAAGTACTCACCATGCTGTTATTGTGACATTCAGCCATGCATCTAGCCTGGCACAGGATGTCGGCCCTCACTGGGTCCTGCGGGGACACCTCTCTCTCAGCCAGAGGGCGATCAGTCAGATCATCAACGCGAGGCTCCCCTGATCCATGACTTGCTCCAAAGTACAGAGGAAAAGCAATCGTAAGGACCAATAACCCACGGAGTAGCATCACTGCTCTCCTCTGGGAGTGCGCAGAATTTCAAACAGCTCTTCAACACTTGACTGGCCTTTTTTTTCTGTTGGCAAATAAAACAAAATGGCATGAGCTGAGTTGAAATACATGTCACGGACAGCTTTAAGAGTATTAACACCCAGAAAGGGTTTACGGCCGGCACTGCAACAGTTTGTGACCATAAGTTACATTAAAAGCTGTCACAAAAGCTTAACAAAAAGAGCTACCTAGTTTGCCTGTCTTTCTAATAAGATGGGAATACATTTATTCTTGGGGGAGAAAGAGATCAAAGCGTTACGCCACTAGGCCTATGCCAAAGGTGATTTTTACTCAAGGGTTGATCTTAGTAGGAAGGGGTTTAAATGCATTAAGCAGTGAAACTGAAGCCTGGAGGACTAACACTTTGGGAAGGGAAGGTGTCAATGGAAACGGAAGTATCAAATTCTCAAAAAGAAATAAAAAAATTGCGTTCTGTTATACATACGAGACTTCACCTCGCCACTTCAAGGGGAGGCAGCTTCATTGCTTGTCTCTCACTTTGCGGGCGAGTCACCCGCTTTGCGGCCGATCATCTCGAGAACAACTCATGAATACACACGTGCCCGCATGCTTGTTCCATATAGCTGTGGGGACATACATGTACACTCGTCTGTACGAGGTATTTGTGGGGACCGAAAATGCTGTGGGGACAGCAGAAAGTCCCAATAACTCGGTCCTAATTTACCTAACAATAAAAAACTTCCCCATAACACGGTGTAGGCCTGCACACACAGACATGTACAACCCCCTTTGCGTTTTATAGTATAGCAGTGACATAATCTGCCTAAGGATAGACCAGCACAATATAAAAGGAAATAAGGTAAATTATGAAGGAGCTCAAAGTCTTCATTAATTATGTTTTAAGCAGCCCTGAACACTGGTGCTGCGTAGAATCCTGTGTTAAAATGTCACAAGAACGTGAGTCAAACAATGCCAAGTCTTTTAATCCAAATTGTACAATGTATACAGATCATCTACTTTTGGCGTTTGCTTTTTACTATGGCAACAAAATACAAAGCAACACAATGTTTTGACATCATACACAAATCTATTGTGCATACAATGATTTTGTTTCACAAGATACTTGCATGTTAAGAATTTCTAAAAAGTCAAAAGGACAGGCTTCGCTTTACTGCCACAACAGAGGAATCACAAACATCATACTTGGGCTTAAACTCATGCATTTATTTCAAATGAAAAAAAAAAAATCCCAAATTGGATTACGCTTTAAATACTAGAAACAAAATTTTGTAATCAGTTAATTATGAAGTGAGTCTGATAATTAAGGTTTATCACAAATATCACATTTTTAATCTAAAAATCTAAAACAAAGGCAAAACAATGAAAAAAAATAAAGATTTCATGTTGTATTGATATCCCGAATTGAATTAAACACAAAACAGGTCACTCACATGAAACATAAACACAGAAACACCCCCCAAATAAAAAAAAAATATTACAACATAAACTGAAAAACAAGATCCACAAAATTCATCAAAACAAAATCTCAATATTTATAACTATCATCCAAGACACACCAACTTGTGTTAATACAAATCGTATGCATTGCCAAAAAACAAGGAAATTCTATGATTAAAGCTCCAGACTGTAACATGTAAAAGGTACTCACACTGAAAAATCCAGTTGTAGTGATCACATGGGTATCAGTTAGTCATAAGACACACCGCAGATGCCTCAACACTGGCGCTGTGGAAATAAGCATCCAATACAAAAAGCCAATCAGTGCGGCACGAGATTTATGATCCGGAGACAGCACAGCAGATGGTTTATAATCCCCACTGCATCGGCAGAGAAACCTGTTGAAGACTACCGGTACATAGCCGGCGGACACTGTCACCATCTCCGTAACTGGATGCGGATTGGCTGAAGATGATCCAAGGTAAATGCTCTGTGTTGATTGGTTGGCAACAAAATTTATGACAATATTCTTTTTTAGCCCAAGCGTTGGGAAATAATTTTAGAGTTCCGTTTGCACTAGCATTTATTTCATTGTCAACATTTTGAAGATGTTTTTGGCATCTAACATTTTGTGTAAGCAAAATATCAGGGAGGTGACTAAGTGTAATTATTCATGGTGTATACAATCAGTGAGAAAAGGTAGCATGCACAATACTCTGCAGTGGGTGGGGCTTAAGGGATGACTGTTAATGTATGCGAAGGTGCTCATTGCCATTGGTCAGTTGCCTCTGGTGCTGCTGCAGGCTGGGCCTGTGCCTGTCAATAAAGGAATCCCCATTACATCATTAGTCACAAGTTTGGGCAGGCGTTGGCTGAGTGACAGCAAGCATGTACATTGTATAGATCAACAGCACAGAAAGGGCGATTCATCTACAACAACAAAATACATGTAGCTGCTAATAAGGCAAATATACTCTCAGTATTCTTATTTATTAAAAGGTTGAAACTACAGTACATGTACATGTACACGTATGTAAAACACTTTACATTTTCAGTATCTAATATACCGGTATCTACATTTAATATGAAAAGGCGGGAAGTGTTTAAGAAAATAGGAATACATCTTGGGTTAGGGTTAGCATACCTACCGGTAGTTCCCCATGGGTACGATCTTACTGCGCTATGTTGGTTCCCATCATGCCTTGCGCGATCTTAACCACTGGAATTGGGGCATTCCACCGGGTTGGGACACAGTGCCTGTTACATCCAAATATTTGGTTATAAATATTATTAAAAGTATCAATGCATTCTAAACAATTGCTCAACATAATATTTGTCTTCGGATGTTTCAATACTTGAGAAAGTTTGAAATCATTTGAATGTACTTTGACAAAAATATGAGCACAAATGTATTAATTCAGGCGTAACATTGACACCGTGACAATATTGTATCCAAATGTTGCCATTTTTTACACATGTAAAATATTACCCAAACTGACATTGCATAACTGGACACCTAATGCACCAAGAAAAGCTTTTGTTTTGGTATAGTCAGGGTTCAAACATAGCAGAAACATATATATCTAAATGTGGATATAACGGTGTCAAAATCACTCAATGGAAGTGTGACTTTTGGGGTTGACACGGTGTCAATGTTACGTCCGCAACCAAGCTATCATTTCTGCTCCATTTGATACCTGACTACCATAACAAAAGCTTTTCTTAGTGTGTTGCATGTATAATAAGAAGTACATAAAGTGAATTTGGGTAATGTTTTACAGAAATTAAAAAATAAGGCACAAATATAATATTTGGATGTAACAATGACACAGTGTCAATGATACTGAATGACATTTTTGCTCATATTTTTGGCAAAACAGATTCAAATGATTTAAAACTTCCTGCAGTAGTGAAACACCCAATAACAAATATTATGTAGAGCAACTGCAAGCAAGGCATTCATACTTTTCATAACATGGTCATATGTCACACATTGTGTCCCAACCCAGTGGAATGACCCATATATTTTAAATATCCCATTATTTTGGGAGATTTAAATTAGGACTAATGTGTTTGTAACGTGGATGCAGTGCTTTAAATTTTAAACTTTTTTTTTTGTGGAATCAATCCTTTCACACATGAGATTTTGATGTTGCATTATAGAGGAAGGATTTATATTAAATGTACATGCCCGTATCTCTGTCATCCCTTTACAACACAAGACACAGGTTTTTTTGGGGTGAAAAACTGGGCTTCCAGAATTCCTGGTATCGCGCAGTCTTGGGAAAAAATGTAAAATCCTTATAAAAACACACAAAATATTGGTTTTATAAATACATTGTACAAGTGTCTCTTGAAGTGCTCTTCAATAACATCCTGCTGCCCACCTCTTCACACTAACATTATTTACACAACCATATAAAAATAAAAACTGCTTACTGTTGGGATGTTTCTTCTCCCTCTTTTTAAATTCACAGTGATCGACTACTTCCACTTCACTTACGGTTATCCGAGTTCATCAAAGCACTTATAGTGGCCACTAGCGAGACTGCACGCAAGGACACTTCCCTCCAAAATGTAATTGAAACAAATGGTCTGTATGCTGTTGCATAAACTCAGCCGTGCGACTGTCCTGTAAATGCAACGTATGGTCCATTTTCATGTTATTTTTATTCACGTGATTTTCGATGCACCATGACAATTGCGGGAGGATTCTCTGAAAAATTTGTTTGACTACGGCACTATAACCTTTGTCGGAGCGGAAAGGTACGTGTAGACCATAAATCAATTATGCAACTGGTTTGACTAGACAGGATTAAAGAAACTTGTATTTCACTCAGAGCCCAAGTTGTTTCTTACATGGGGGGGGGGGGGGGGGGGCGGGGTTTAAGGAAATACTTTACTATGTATTTGAGTTATATGTTATTATTTTAGTTCCACGTGCCAGGGAAAAATTAATTAGTAAGGAGCTGAATAGTTTTATCTGGGCACCCAATTCAACTGCAGCTTCTTGGTAAAATACTTGCAAAAAAAATACTGCCCGTGTAGTCAGTTTTGACTTGCTCTAGATCAGAGTTGATCTGCTTTCCAGTATCAATGTTTGGTTGTTCAAAGAAAATTGGCAAGGCAGGGATTCGAACCTCTGACCTGTGGCATAAAAACACATCAGTACCGGTACTTCTCCAAAGCTACCTGTACTACATTCATGAAGAGTTTGTTTCGAAAATGCAATGAATGCCATCTGGTTACATTTTATAACCCCGCCCTCTCCAGTGGTTGCCCAAGTCTGTTACATACATGTAATTACCGTACACACAATTTAAGCATGCAGTAAGGTGAAGCAAGTACATGTAGTTAACAAACAGCCATTATACAAAGTACTTTAAATGTTCTATTAGTTTTTATAACCGTGGAAATTGTGTCACTTTTTTCAAATGGATATATATTTTTGGAAATATACTCTTCATATATGCTTGTCTCCCATTTGTCCAAGTCCTTGCAGAATATCGAGTAAATTTAAAGGCTACTGGAAGGCTGTTGGCAGACATGTACATAGTTGTCCACATGAAAAGACAGACAGCCCATTCCTATAAAGTTACGTACGTATACTTGTACATGTACATGTAGCAATCAAGTCAAATGCATGGTTTGACCAAAATTAATTGAAAGCCAGCAGCCGAAAAATTGTGGAGCACAAACATTTTCAGTTTATTTTATTTCATTTTTGGATTGAGCAGAAATGTCCCACCTAACTGTTTTGAAATGTGGGGATATAATTTTATTTATATGTAGGGAAATTACAGCAGCAACGTATGAATGAAAATAATTATATTATTTTGTATTATTAACCGTCCTAATTTAACTGCAAAGCCTTTTACGCTTTAAATGCAAGTACACATGTATGTATCCTCCTTAATGCCTCATTCTTGAGGGATTATTTTTCCTAAATCTCTCTATCTTTATTTTTCCTTTGGTAGAGGTCAGTTACATCTTTGATTTGTCATTCAGCGATGACAAGCTTGTATCGGTTTCCGTTTGAATCCTGTCTCGGGTCAGTGTCAAGAGGAATTGGTGATAGGATGTCGCAGGGTTCTATAACCTCAAGCCAACTCTGATTTAAATTTGTATCAAATTGCTTCTGTTTTGAGGATTTGAAGTGCAAATACCCGTTCAGCAGGTTATATCAATTTCATGATTTTTTTCAAATGAGAAAAAAAAAGCAAATGAATTGAACAGCAATTCTTTTAACAAAAAGAAACATGCATTTTTAACATTAATCCTCCTATGTAAACATGTACATATTCTTTGCCAAGTTGTCCTTTTAGTCAAAATCAAACAAGTGACTGTTTTCAACAGTTATGAATTCCCAGCCTACATAAAGCAGGATTGACTGGCTGTGACTGTTTATGTAACTTGATACAGCTTTGCTTTGACTGTGGGTGATTGATTAGCCAGCTGTGCCCACAACTTGCCTGCTTTGTGTGTTCATGGTCCGTTGGCTGAATTAGACTAGTCACAGAGCTAGACAATATGATCCGACTGTTGGTGACTAGCCTGTGTTAAAAGTATAGCAGGGGAAGTTGATGACAATTTTGACTGTCTGTGACTGTTTAAATAGTAAGAGGGTTCTATTCAAAATGCTTTAAGTTGAGCCGAGAAAAACTAAACAGTATTGCAAACATTTAATGAGTGCAAAACGCTGCACAAGCAGACAATTTAAAATTTTGCACTAGAGCACCAAGACAGCAACCTCTGTATATTTTTCCTCATTGAAAGGTTCTTTTTTTAACAATCTTGAAACTTTTGCTTAAGTGAATTGCAATCGCAATTTACCTCAGGGCAATTTCACCGAAGCTCTCAAAATGTCCTGATCGATTCTAAATCTATTATACGATGTGTACAGAAATACAAAGAGAGAAATTCAGGAATACCTAATATGTGACCGGCTCCACCAAAAGGGTATTATGTCGCAAAAAAGTGAAATTGGGTTACCGGTATACATGATTTCACCGAAGCTCTCAAAATGTCCGGATCGATTCTAAATCTACTATACCACATGTACAGAAATACAAAGAGAGAAATTCAGGAATACCTAATATGTGACCGGCTCCACCAAAAGAGTATTTTGTCACAAAAAGTGAAATTGAGTTACCGGTACATGTGTATACATGATTGGAAAGCCCACAATATAATATTTCATTTGGTACCGGTATAGAGCTCCATAGCCCCTCCTGTTCTGGAAAGATGATGTATTTGTATTAATTACTTCCTTGGAGTTCAAATTACACAACTGAGAAAACAGGCTTTGAAATATAGCTGGCTTTGTTGAATAACAACAGAATGATGCACCAAAAATGGTTGGTTTTCCAACTTTGTTCATAAAATCAACATTTCTGTGCAAGAAACCTGAAACTGTATTGGTACGTACGGGTATGTACATTGTATTAAAGATGTCATTCATGAAAAAAAAAATGAAATCACATTTTGATGAAATTTTCACCCTCTCAATGTTGAGCGGGCCATTACACAGTAATGCACAGTGCAACTTAATACCCTTTTTTGTGGAGCCAGTCACATAGTAACGTCCATCATCGTGGGGCAAGCAGCATGGCACATTGTGTAAAAGCAAAATATTGAAAGACAATACAATACATCTATCTTTCCCGAAATACAATAAGGTCACTGGAAACACACAATTCTATTACGTTCTTCAGACTTCACTTCCTGATAGTATACCAATATTTAAAATCAGGAATTGTGAAAAGAAAAGGGGAAAAAAAGGAAAATGGAAGTGAATTGAAAGGCACACATGGGGAAAAAACGTGTCAAAAAATTATCAAAGAAACCTCCAAATAGGCCAAGGCTGAATTTCTCAATCAATCGTAACATCAATTTGACATTTATTAGGATCATCTGCAAATATCCCCAAAATAAAGACCTGCTGAAATATTAAATGTAATATACAACACTTGCAAACCTAAAAAAAAAAAATACTTAACAGGGGCGGATCCAGACATTTTTGCAGTGGGGGGGGTGGGGGGGGGGTGGTTTTCATCAGCAAATCAATGCTGAAATGTAGACAGGTTTTTAAGTCCGGACACTTGGCTCCGCAAAATCAATAGGGGGGGGGGGGGGGGGGAGGGGGGCTCGTACCATACTTTCAATGGGGGCGATTATTAACACTATATTATAATCTGACGATTATTAACACTATATGTGACCGGCTCCACAAAAAAGGGTATTATAAATCTGTGCCACTTAAAATCTCACCTTGAAAAGAAGAGGTGTACTGCTGTCAACTACGGCCAGCTAATACAGACTGCGGCGCAGTATTGAGTCCAGTATGCCATGGTAATTTGGACTTTGGCAAAAACGTGAGGCAAAATCTGGAGGTGCCTCCTTGATTAAACTCTGTGTTGGATCTGGTGTTTTCTTGACACTATGGGAAAATGTTACCAAATAATACCTTAAAACAACTGTGATTTCACTCATTGAGGCCAAAAAAAAAAAATTGGGTCATTACAGTGTTTTCCCTGGCTAATGAACTGGGCGAGGTGGTAACAATTCAAGTTGATGATTGAAACGAAATTTATGCAGTCTGCAAACTGAAAAGAATGCAGCGCTCACAAAAATGCGCGATGATTCCAAAAACACATCGAAATTGTGAGTTCTTGATTCATGGAGGTAAAGGAAAACGCTCATATATTACACAAAATGAAAATGTTTCAATTGATATTTCCTTTTTTGCCAATCTTCACAGCGAGGTGGTGATATTGGCAAAATTGAGCGAGGTGGTCACTGAAAGTAGCGAGGGGGGCCACCTCACGTTTGAATGGGCAGGGGAAACACTGGGTCATTATAATACCGTGCTGATGTGGCACCATGATTCAGCTTAGGTCAGTTCACTTATGATTACCATGGCAATAAAGTCTCCCACTTAATTACATCGTAATGACAGAAGATGGCTTTACCTCACCACACATTTATTAAGTACTGTAGTCCTTTTTTTTTTACCCTCAACTAACCACGCAGTTAAAAGGATTAGGAAACTCTCCTTTCCATTTTTTTTTTGAAAAAGTTAAATCGTTCATTGGTTAATACAGGAAGGAAGAAGATAATAATACTATATTGGATGGATTTGAGGGGGATGCAAGAATGTCGTATGAGCTCTTCAATATTGCACGTTTCGAAGAAGAGGGCAATAGTGTTATAGCGAGAGCAATATATTCTTGTATTCCCCGAAAAAAAGCCATCCACTTTTATTATTATTTCTTGTTATCACTTATCAGGCTGACTTGATCTGCAAGAAATAAATTTCAGGACACTGTCTTTATTTCTCAAATTTTGTTCAATATTCTTTGCTTACGTATTACGGAAGCAAATTTTGTGCCGCTCTGAGCTGCCATTTTGGTTGTTGACAACAGTTGTTGACAACAGCTATAAAGTGCAGATATTATTGCATTTTTCAAACGGCAACCATACAATATAATAAGAAGATACGGCAAAAGAAAAATGCTCGGAAAAAAAACAACATAAAAAGATGAAACCATCGGCTCTGAAAGAATCACCTAATAGAAACAACGATACTGTGCGGGGCTTATCTGACTGAATGGCTTTGGGGTGAGTGTACAAAAAAAAAATGTTTATGACCAAATTTAAATTCATACAAATGGCCTGATATAATAATCCTAGAAGCCCTAGGATCTTTCTCAAAGAAATATACTGCTGTGTGAAGGATCAGCTAGCGTGTAGGCCCTCGTACTATTTCAATTTGCATATTTCAGGTCAAGCCAGTCAGTCAGCAGTTTGCAGCAGTTTTCTCATTTCAGGCTTTCAAGCAGACCCAGGTGAAAAGAAGGAGGAACAGTAGGATCAAAATTTTAAACCCAAAAAAGGACAATACATGTAGTACTTTCGAAGAAAAAATCCGGATAAAAGTAGGACTTGTGCGGGCTTTCAGGAGTACTTTTCGTTGATGCTCACCCATGTCCACAGCATCATAAGCCTCATTTGGCATGTTCTGTACTCACAACACTTGTGCTCCACCTCAATTAAGCTCTTGGAAGTACTGTTGCAGTTACAGCCCAAGCCCTTCATTGTGTGATTTACATGACATTTAAAAATATTCAATGAGATTTCATTTTTCGGAGTTGTGGGACCAAATTAGTAGGAAAAAGTAGGAATTTCAAGAAAAAAATGTTGGAAAAGTAGAAGCAAGGTACAACAAAACTAGGAAAAGTAGGAACATTTGAAAGCCTGTCATTTCTCAAAATTATCAAATTAATATTTTGTGCGTTGTTCACACATGGATCTTGACTTTCGTAAGTTACGCTCTTTAAGTGAACAATCTACAGCAGTGCTGGTAATTGCAAATCTGACTCTTCTTTGTTACTCATAGCATGAGAGAAGTTTTTACCTTTTCAGCACCAGTCCACCCCCTCTGTCTGCGGCTGCTCTTCCGTGCTTGTCCATCTTCATGTAAATATGCTTTCTTCACTCCCCTGGACCCCTGTGGCTACTCACTCGTGTACAACTGGAAGGGAATCAAAGAAGACGACCAGAGCAGAAAATATAATCCATAGCCAGCAGAAAATATAATCCAGCTAAGCCCATCATTCTGCTGCGAGACTTGACAAGGGGCTTAAATCTTGTTGGCTGATAAGGATATATCCCCTACTTCTTTGGGGATGGGCCAAACATGTAGGATTATGATCCTCCACCCACCCTATCTACCTCTTAAAATTTTTTTTCATCACCATTGGTCATTTGCAAAGGGATTTAGGCTGGATGAGCTTCACCTGGGCTTAACCTGTCAGGTATAGCGCTTGAAATTGTGTACTGGACAAATACAAAAGAATATGAAAGTCGTCATGGCCACACGAAGAAGTAAATATTTTTGTCACAAAATGGATTAAAGCACCATCTAAAATACACTTCTAAAATACACAATTCAACTTTAACATGTACAATTCAAAGAAGCTAGTTTTAATTACAATTTACTTTTCATCATGTAAAAACAAATTGTTGAAACTACATTGCATGGTTGAGGCTGATAGTTGACAAGTAACTGATGTAATCTTAAAGGGAATATACATCATTTGCTTTTGCTGTAATTTTCAGAAATGGATGGAATTGGGGGTTGGAAATATATAGCAAATATACATGTAGTTACACTGACTTTTTTGAGGTTTTGGGTTCGAAAATGCTATAAAAACCAAGAAAAACAATCATTTTCCTGTAGTCTGGTTCCCTGACTACATTTAAGAAGAAACAGAGCAGTTTAAATATATTGGGGAATTGTAAGGTCAGAGAACCAGTCTAGCTGGCTTGTACCCGTTCATAGGTGTGTAATCGATTGCAAACAAGTGCGATGGTCAACTGGGGCCAGTATTTGGAAAAAAGCCAGTTTTTTCCAACGCTGATCGGCCGATCAGTGTTGGAAATTGATACAAAAACACCACTTTTCTTGAAAATGACAGTATACCAGGTGCCATGATTTTACAGGATGCTTTACACTGTCATTCACTAACAGTCCAGCAAGGTATTTCAAAATGATTTGGTAGTTTTATTTTTTGATGTTTGCAAATGTTGTATTTTCCCTTTAAAACTGAATTTCACCTTTTTAAGATCTACATTGAAAGACAGATCGAGAAATACAAACTGTTCAAACATAGTGTTACATATACATGTACGGGGGTACGTATCATTTAACTGACATTTTAAAGACCCTGAAGAAGAACATGTCACGGAACTAGACTAATGAGTCCTCAGTTACTCATCAGTCTGACTGAATTAGGTCCGATTACAACACATTAATGTAGCATGTAGGGCGGTCACATTCTTCAGTTACTTTAAATGTATACATGAACATAATACTGTACATGTGTCATCACAGGGATTCTTTCAAATCATGCATGCATTACACAGTAAGTGCCTGGTGACTGTTACTGACGAAAAGTGAAGACTGAAAACAGACACATTGATTACATCAAGTACCGGGATGTCATTGAAATTGAAATGCAATAAATATGTCTCTCTGGAGCAGTACGTAAAAATGTTTCGAACCCCCCCCCCCCCCCCCCCCCCCCCGGTCCAGTCATACAAATTAAAACAAGAATGTTAAGATACAATTCGATGTACAATGGTACAAGGTCTTTGGAACGAAGCCAGCAAAACCAAGCTTCACCCCCACTTCGTACTCTCCCACCCCCTCAAAAGAAGTAAGTGCAAAATCTGCTGATGGCAACAAAATTTGCTTTCTGCTCAGACTCCGAGCGATATATATGTCTCTTGTAGGATCTGATATGATTCATCAGGTTTGTATAATGTAGTATCCATTGTTGACTCTACACAATCTCGGTGCAGAAACATATCTTCAGGCCAAATACTTTCCAACATCCTATAGTTTCTGTCAATCAAACTTTCACTAGAGCAGCCACCAACCCATTCTAAGGTTCCAACGGGTATTTTAATGGAGCTTTTTTAGAAAAAAAATACTTGGGAGGTGCATGTGCAGGGGAAAGATAGGGTTCCTAATAAAAATATACGTAATATAATCTGGGACAGCCTGTCAACGTTATGGGAAAATTGGGTCAAAGTGAAACACATCAAAAGGAAGGGAATTAAAAGATCAACAATCTAATTGTTATTACATTCATGTTATTTAGTTATATTTCCAATATTCCTTTGATCAGGCAATTTCTATCCACGTGTATGACTATGAGCATATTTCCATGAGTATTGAGCACCGGTACCTTGCCAACTCCATGGTACGTACTTTTTTATTGTCAAAGTACTTTTCATTGTCAAAGTACAGTAGTTACAAAATCTTGAATGTAACATGATGACCCTCCACATATTAAGGATCGCGTAAACCGATGAGAGTTGACCAAGTACTATTCAAATCCACATGTATGCATGACACCATTGCTGTCAATAACTCAGAACAAACGAAATCAACCGGCCAAACCAACAAAGTCAAGATGTAGTCTTGGTTCTGCGAACGTGGACGTTTATTTAAATGTAATCATTGGTATCAATTTCCTTGGACTTGTACTCAATTCTTGACTTCCACGAAATTACTACATCCGTCATCAGATACACATGTACACTGTAGCACTATCGTCCTGTAAATTGCGCCCTCTGTTGATGGAATAGACTAGTCAAGATGGCACAAGGTGTCGCCACTTGTAAGTATATGGGTCATTCCACCGGGTTGGGGAACAATGTGTGACATATGACCATATTATGAAAAGCCTGAATGCCTTGCTAGCAGTTGCTCTACATAATATTTGTTGTTGGGTGTTTCACGACTGCAGAAAGTTTGAAATGATTTCAATGTATTTTGCCAAAAATATGAGCAAAAAATATCATTTTGGACGTAACACTGACACCGTGTCAGTGTTACGTCCAAATGTGACATTTGTACCTTTTTTTTTAAATTTCTGCGAAACATCACCCAAATTCACTTTGCGTACTTCTTACTACACATGCAACACATTAAGAAAAGCTTTTGTTACGGTAGTCAGGTATCAAATGGAGCAGAAATGATAGCTCGGTTGTGTGGATGTAACATTGACACGGTGTAAAACCCAATGTCACACTTCCATTGAGTGATTTTTACACCGTTACATCCACACTTGAGGTATTGGTTCTGCTATATTTGAACCCTGACTACACAAAACAAAAGAAGCTTTTCTTGGTGCTTAGGTGTCCAGTTGTAAATATGCAATGTCAGTTTGGGTAATATTTTACATACGTGTAAAAAATGGCAAAAAAGGAGTATTTGGATGTAACATTGACACAGTGTCAATGTTACGTCCGAATTAATACATTTTTGCTTATATTTTTGTCAAAGTACTTTCAAATGATTTCAAACTTTCTCAAGTATTGAAACACCTTAAGACAAATATTATGTCGAGCAATTGTTTAGAATGCATTGATACTTTTAAAAGTATAACCAAATATATGGATGTAACATGCACTGCTTCCCAACCCGGTGGAATGACCCATATGCAGAAGGTTGCAGTTCAAATCTCACCATTGAAGGAACTCTTAAAGATCTTTTTCTTAAAGGCTCTTTATAAACAATAACTTTTCAATATTAAAAAAAAAAAAAAATAAGTCCAAAACCCTTAATAACAACTCCTGGCAGAACATGTTTTTCTTATATTGGTCAGGGCAAGACATGCAGGGGACCATGATGATGTAACATATGCTCCATTTGACATAGTAAACCTTGTCAACACTTGAATGCTGACAGAGTCCACTTTGGATGCGACACCTGCAACCTAAAACTCCTCAGGTTGATGAATGTGCAATTCTGGCTCAGCTAGACCACTCATTTCAATTGCAAGAATCTGCTACAAATGGGTGTAAAGCAGGAGACGTTTGACATGCATCACTTAAAATGCATGAACTTCGTCATGAAAATGCCCTGCATTTGGCACGTACAATACGGTTGAAAAGGGTGGTAAGGTTTCCATTAATAGGTTAAGGATATTCCAATTTTGGTGAATTTTTTTCATCTAATTAAAGGAAACAAGTATTTTTTTTTCACAAACAAAGCTACATCATTATGTTCATAATGAGAAACTTAAATTCCAAAATACATGTATAATCCCACAAATGTCCAAAAATTCCCATGAAATTCCCACAAATTCTTGCTACTTTGTATCTTGTCGCTGCAAGACGCCACAGCGACTTTATATCTCACAGCAGCAAGTTAGCCACAATGTACTATCTTACCATGGCAAGTTAATATCTTACCATGGCGAGTTACTATCCAACGCGGTATGTTACTTTAACATGGCGAGTTACTAATGCAATACGTGCAACGGACGTTCTAGCCAGACGGAATTGTGGGGTGATAGCATTGTGTTCCCATTATCCCTTTTTCTAAAGATTCCCTTCTGGGGTGATGTTTTTCTATTGTGAAAATAGTGGGGTGATGTGTCCTGAAAGGAACATCACCCCACGAGGGTGGTATGGTCAGAACGTGCACACCTATGCATGTGCATAAACTCAACATACTTCTATTTCCAAATGATTTCAGTTGAATAATCTACTTTCCCTTTTCCAAACTACCTCTTCATGAAATGTTTGAACCCAATTCCACAGCATGTAGGAACAATACGTGCAATGCGCACAAAAATATGCATGTGTGCACACCCCAAAAAACCTACATAATAACATGTACATTCTACGTTGGTTTCTACAGTACATATAAGTACAAAATACTTTTTCTGACCGAGGCAGCCGTTGTATAGTTGTTATGGCTGTGCACAGCAAAATAGTAGTAAAAATAGCGAATGTCATGTGACTCGCTCTCGGTCAATCAAGATGCAGAATCTGTGGTGACTGGTGAGGTACGTGTAATCATCTTTGCAGTCATCACTGATCTAGCCCCATAAATGTGGCCAATTTACTGGACTAACTCCGTAAAGGCCACACATCCACCATGTACAAAAACATGTCGAACTTTGTCAAATTTTGATTTGCACATTTAGGCTTGGTTTGTAGTTTATTCTTGCTTTGGAAGCATACCCACCCTCTGTATAGGCTAATCAGAAAGTGCTGCCTATTTCAGATGTCTAATTTTCGTGAAATTTCATGTTGAAATTTTGATACGCAAACGTGTGCAAACAAATCTGGAAATTTCACAAAAAATAGACATCTGAAAAAGGCAGCACTTTCTGATTAGCCTATAAAGAGGGTGAGTATGCTTCTGAAGCAAAAATAAACTACAAACTAAGCCTAAATGTGAATATATCCAAATTTGACAAAGTTCGACATGTTTTTGTACATGGTGGAAGTGTGGCCTTTATTTACGGAGGTAGTCCAGTAAATTGGCCTCATTTATGGGGGCTAGTCTGCATCAGGCTTTAAGACACTAGACTAGAGGAAAGATTTTGACTGGTGCCATGTTCATGTTGGAGGTGTGAGCTTGAAATTTTGATTCTGATTAGCCAAATTTGACAATTGATTAAAAATCAGTGCGTACACATTCGAAATTTGCGTGATGTCAAAATAGTCCCACTCAAATACTTCCTGAAAAGATATGTTTCCTGAATTTAAAACCTAAACCGTTTTTTTTTTTTCATGCCCCAGGGTAAGGATTTGGGTCACCCAAAAACATTGTAGTGCGCCCCACATATGTACATGTATGTCAGGGATCGTCACTTAAATTTTGCCCGAGGGGTAGGGATTTTTTCACTTCAAAAGTGACAATCCCCACGTCTTGGGTGGGGCAGCCAGGGGGGATGGGGGGATAGGGGGGAGGAAACAACTGATAGGCGCATATCAGCTAAAACGTTAAACAGGTAATAAAGGCACATATTTTCTTCAAAAGTAGCCTACATATCAAAATTACCACAAAAATTAATCTAAAGAAAACAGACTGCTTGGGGCTGCAAAAGTCATTTTGGAATTGACTGTCATTTGCCCAAACGCAGTGGCTATCGTTACGGCAGCCGTAACGCATTTCCCATTTTCTATCGTTACGGTAGTACTGCAACTTTTATAAAAACATGAGAAGAACAAATAAAATTAGAAGGAAAAAAGTGAATTTGATTGTTACGAAATTCGGACTTTATTTCCCTTTAAAAAAAAATCCTCCAAAGCCTCAGGTTAGAAAAGGAAAAAAATTCGAGTGCAAAACTGAGATGCGAACCCGCAACCTCGCGGTGCAAAATCCTACCCTCTATCGACTGAGCTGTCGCACTGCTCGCTAAAATGTGGGGAAACAAATAATTATATACCTGCGTGCGTATCAAAAAAGTATTGTAGAGGGCGCTAAACAACGGCTGCCGTAACGATAGCCACTTCGTTGCCCAAAAACTCATTTTGAACAGCACTTGGGAAAGAATGTTTCCCCCTGACGCCACTTTTTTCATCATAATCATCTCAATGGACAATAGTGGTCAGTCATTGCAAAAATGTTGAACATGTGGAAAAAATGTTGCAACCTAGCTGGAGTTACCCAGCCCTAAATTTTATCATTGGGTTGTCATCTAGGGCTGGAGATAAATTTTCACGTAACCCAGCAGCGTAGGCAGGTCCCAAAATTTTTTTTGTCCCCGTTACACACTAATTGCAACTGCAACTCACCCCAAACTTGCCTGGAATAACCATTACACAGGTCCTTGAAGTAAAAAACGATCCACGATGAAGATTCAGCCTACAATTGCAGTGAAAAAAGGAGGAAAATCCCGGGACATACCGTTATTTCGTTTTACCGTTTTGCATTTCCTCAAAACAAAAACAGTAAACAAACCATTGACCGTTCTGTCGTTTTACAGTTTTGTAAAACGGTCAAACGGTATTAAGATAAATACGGTTTCTCTGTTTTATAAGTTTAATAAAATTAATAACAGCATAACGATCAATGATTTTTGTTTTACAGTTTTACACAAATAACTTTGAAAAACAGCAAAACGGTCAGTATTGAATACAGACTGTTTTTTTTATTTCAGTGTCATAGTGAACAGTCCGTGGTGCATTTTGTGGTGCTGGGCAAGGGGAATGGAGGGGGACCATGCTTTACATGAAAAAGTGTTACCACGGCATAATGCGTGGTGTGATGATTCCTGGCGTGACCCTGACCCCCTTCTCACGCGATTCAGTTGGTGGGGCTTAAGAGTTGCAAGCAAAAATTGCGCTGGAAAACTTCAAGGGAGGACATTACTTTTTACAATAGATACAGGATGGTAATACGTTTGAAGAAGTTGCAGATATTTGAAGGAAACTGGAGTTCGGCGCGGCTCTTCAATAGCCAGTTCGAAAACTATGTCGTGAGAACGAAATGTGAGGAGGGTAATTTGGGTCCCAGGCAATGACTCGATCCCATGAGGATGCATTAACATTCCTAGGTGCATTGCTTAATTGCCGAACCTAAATCAAAAAGTGGTCGACAGGACTATTGACCGTTTTTCATTGTCATTTTCTTTTAAAACAACACTCTGAAATGAAGCAACTAACTGTTTATCGCTTTCAACAATTAAGAAAAACAACAAAAAGGTCATTGTTTTTTGTGACCTAATACCGTTTGACCGTTTTACAAAACTGTAAAACGAAAAAACGGTCAACAGTGCGTTTACTGTTTTTGTTTTTGAGGAAATCCAAAACGGTAAAACGAAATAACGGTATGTCCCGGGATTGAGGAATAACCGCTAACCTGACAACCTTGCAGGCATTGCCAGGACTGCAATTGGTTTGTGCCCAAAACAAATTGTGTACAATGAATGGCGGTCGATTACCATGCACAGCGCGCTGGTACTAGTCGTTTTTGCCGGCTGCGCGCATGACGTCACGCAGAAGCGTAACACCCGATGACTGTTTCATGCACTATCGGTTGCTGTTCCAGTACCACAGCTGTGATGGTAAACCTCATAATTAGTGCATGAAACAGTCATCGGGTGTTACGCTTCCGCAATTTTTTTTGGGACCTGCCTACGCTGCTGGGTTACGTGAAAAATTATCTCCAGCCCTAGATGACAACCCAATGATAAAATTTAGGGCTGGGTAACTCCAGCTAGTTGCAACCGGACACTACTCCTAGAACTATGACTATATGAGGCTCCACGCAGTGCGGGCGCGTGGAGCCTCATAGTCATAGTTCTAGGATAGAGTAACCGGACACCACTTTTTTTTTTATTTCATTGCAAAAATTATGATAAGGTTAAGACATGAATCCGGGACTGAGAAATATTTCCAATTTTGTTAGGAACTACAGTACAAATTCCATACTGGGCCACCACTCAGAGCTCCTGCACAAAGTCTATGGGCTATGACAGAACATTTTATTATCAAAGAATTTTTGCAAACATGTTATTGTTATATTATAAACAGTCAGCAGGTTAAGTGTTTCTTCATCAGACTTCCAATGTTTGGTACTTTTCATATTAAGGAATATGAGTGGTGGCCCAGTATGTAATTTTTTTTCCCACAATTTGTTTAATTATACCCGATACCTACTTACTCACAAAAGGACTCTATATTTATCGACGATTTTCATCACGGGTGCAGCAGCAAAGTAGTCAAACGATACACCGTGCACTCGTGGTCAACAAACTACCGTAAACATTGAATAGCGCCACCACGAGGCTGAGGCAAACATTTCCACTGCTGCACGTGACATATCATATGACCTTTATTTACATTTTACTTCTCGTTTAATGTCACGTTGTTCGAGTAATAGTTGTGTCATGGATGTGGCCGTGGACGAGACAATCCAAGCAATCTTCAGCCTGTTCGAGCGCTATGGCTCCTCAGACTACCAAGGAGAACATGTCACCCAGACTGAGCACATGGTGCAGTGTGCAATGCTTGCGGAACAAGAAGGCGGCCCAGTCCCGGTAGGAGGCGGGGCAGCGCAGTTAAACCACACACACACGGAGCGATCGAGCCCGGCCGTAGGGTTGTTCGCTGTTACTATTTGTTAGCCTTGAAATTAACGTCAAGGGCAAGATTAGCCCCATAAATGTGGCCAATTTACTGGACTACCTCCGTAAATAAAGGCCACACTTCCACCTACTCCTAGAACTATGAGGCTCCACGTAGAGTAACTTCCACCATGTACAAAAACATGTCGAACTTCGTTTGCACTACCTCCATGGTTTGCACACGTTTGCGTATCAAAATTTCAACATGAAAATTTCACGAAAATTAGACATCTGAAAAAGGCAGCACTTTCTGATTAGCCTGATTAGTATACAGAAATAGTGTTGAACTACATGCCTAATTCGCCAATTTGCAAGGGGTATTCTGAATGCTGTCAGTGTCAATGTCTTAATTTGCAAATTCTCAGAACATAGATAAATTTTTAAAAAAAATTCAAGCTTCTTGTCCTTGCCTTATTCCTTTTTCCCACCCACCTCTTTTTTGGGGGGGGTATTACGTTTGCAATTTATTTGATCTTTTTTGTTTCCCATAAAATTGTAGCTATGTATGCAAGTTCAAAATCAAGCACGACACAGAACTTTCAGACGCGGCTTCTCCATCAGTGACATTTGGCGCCCCATTCTCACCTCTCAGTCCAATGGGTCTCCAAGGTCAACTTAGTTCCCCTACCTTAGTCAGCCTCATGGGTCCCCTATACCCTTGGCAACCTTCCCCTCCACTCCCTTCCTCCACACTGATACGCCTCACTGATCTTTCATGCATCCCCAGCTTCAGCATGGACTCCATCAGACATGCCCCACTGATCAGCCAGCATCCCCTGCTCAACATCGCATCCTTCGTGTGTTTCATTGCTTCCAGTCACACCATATAACCTCCCTTCACCGTTGGAAATCCCTGCAGTCTCCTGGTGACGGGCAGAGCATGCCCTCTTGTTTTACTATATTCTCGAGGACAATGCTTTGTGTTTCCCTTTGTCCCTGTAATATAACACTCTCCCATAGACTATAAAGCACACAAACTTACTACAGAGGACCGTTTCCAACGAAAGAGCCAACTCCCGAGGACTATAAGGATCTGTTGTTCTCCCTTTGTGTGTCAGTCCTCAGGGGTTATGTAGAACACGTTCATACTGTTTGACTTGTTGAGTACTTGAGTTTCCCCGGTTCTTTTCAGGACCTCACAAAAGAGATTTGTCACATGGTGCTACTGTAAACCTTTATCTTATCTTACTAAGTTAAAAATCTGGTAGAGTGGAGAAAATAGATAAAAACATGGAAAATCCGGCATCTTGGGGGGGGGGGGAAGGGCCTCCTCCTTTCTTTGTTCAAAAAGCCCGAACTAGAAATCATATTTTTTACTTGACCTTATAAACATATTAATTTGTGTTTAGGTTGTTCTTGGAGCACTCTTCCATGACATTGGGCACTTGGTTGGTAGGCAGCAGGAGGCTAGGCGCATGGAGACAGATGGGGTAAATCTAGGAGTAACAGGACATGAAATCATCGGCCAGGAATTCTTAGAGAACCTTGGCATCCCACGCTCCGTCAGTGTGTTCTCCAAGGGGCACGTGGATGCCAAACGCTACCTCGTGTACAAAGAGAAAGGATACTATGACAGTAAGTACAGGTGGTGAGAAGCATACGGGTTGACATTTTTGTGCAGCGTGGATAAGCTTGGGTAATCCTTTCGTGCATTGCAACTAGATTGAAATTAACACCTTCCGTGGGATGGCCACTTCTCAGGTGGATGTGTCAATGTCATTGATCTCTGTTCCATCTCAATTTGTATGTCATGGGGAGGGATGTAGTTGCAAGCCATCACAAGTCCAGTCACAAGTAACAGTGGATGAACAACAACAAAGGAATGCCTCTGTCAAAGCTCATTTGAATAGCTTGTGATTTGAATTGGGACTGGAGGACTTGTGATGGACTTGCAGGGACTTGTGATGGACTAGACTACATCCGTCAAAATCAGCCGAAAGGCCAATTATTTTGTACAATTCCAGCTATATGTTATTTATATAATACAGTGAAATCTCAATAAGTCAATCTCTGATAACCCAAAACAACTGTTAAGTCAAACAAAGATTCCATTCCCTTTAGAAGTATAACAATGATATACAACCCTGCTTAACTCAAAACTCTGCTTATAAGTCAAATTTGGAACCTGTTCCCTTGAGGTTTGACTTACCGAGATTTCACTGTACATAAAATATAACAAAAGAACAGCTTAAAACTCAACTGACAGAACAAAGATGTACACATTTCTTTGCACTGTCACCTTCAGTAAGATTGACCAATGAAGCAAAACAGAATGGCCGATTTCACAAAACTCATTGTAACTTACGATGCATCGCAGCACTGCGACGCATCGTATCCCTACGACGCGTCGCAGCTGCGACGCGTCGTAGGGATACGATGCGTCGCAGTGTCCTGGGGTCCATTTCACAAAACACGTCGTAAGTGCGACACGTCGTATGTGTATATATAGCACAATTTGGTGACTGTTTTATGTATTAAGTCAGCATACAGTAAATAGTCGTCTGGTATTCAACAAAAACGTAGGACGAAATGGCGGCCATGCGATGCAATTTTAAAGGAAAACGAGCTCTCAGTGGACTGTGCAGCTACTTTGAAATTTCAACTGCAATATTCCAGGCTAATTCATAATTATTTAATGAATTTTCTATTTACAACTTTACACACATTGCCTCGGTATTATCTCTTTTATGTGATGTTTATGGCACAAAACTGGCTAAAACGGACTCTTCTTATTTTGCGAAGACCACTAGACACGTCGTAGCTTGCGACGTGTTTTAAGCCATTGTCAAGGAACTTACGAAGCGTTCAACACATCGCAACTTTCGTGAAATGGATTATACGACGCGTCTGCGACGCATCGCAGCGCTTCCTGAAATCGGGTGCCACTGTCATACTGTATTTTCAATTGACACATCACTGTCTGTGATTTGTTGTCTTCTTTCCATTGATCCTTTGCTCTCAGTACATCCTGTTTGACCTTGATTTGCTCTCAGGACTCTCCGATGCCAGCAAGAAGACCCTGGTACATCAGGGAGGACCGATGACCGCACAGGAGGCGGAGTTATTTGAAGCTGAGCCGCAGCTAGCTGCCATACTCAAGATGCGACAATGGGATGAGCAAGCCAAGGACCCTACCGTCCAGATTGAGCCGCTGCAGAGGTATCGGGAAATGTGTAGGCAGTTCCTCCTAACGAATGCAGCATAATGAACCATATCATACCTCACCCATAGATTCTGTCTCTTGATTGGCTGGGGTGTGTCACATGGTATTCCCTAATCTTACCTTGCATTAAAAAAAGAACACTTTTGGCAGTCGCATTCTGAATAGTATTTTACCATAAGCAACCAGAGGTCTGCAAGTGTGTACTTGTAGATTGAAAGTTGTGTGCAAACTTTCATCAAAAACTTTCATCCTGAAGACGGTCAGAGCATACTGACCAGAACATCGAGTTTATACCTCTGGCTCTTTTCAAAACCATTCTCTTAGTTTGAGAAATTATTCTGAAATGGTGTTTCCGCAAACCTTTCATTCGTCAGTATCTTCACCATGCAAAGCCTCAAATCTTACTCATCAAGAGGAAGTTTGGAAAAAGAACAAGTGAATATTCCATTTCTTTGGAAAATGAAACATAAGTCTGTATTAGTTTCAACTTCAAGTTCGATCAGATCTCTTTAAAACCGTGCAGAATCTTTGAATGAGGTGTTATGAATTTGTTAAATATAGAACAAATATTGACTGTCGTTCACTAATAGCCTTGTTGCCTTCTTCATGTTATCAGGAAGCAAGTTTACCGCTCAAAAACAGTCAATACTGAATATCATCTCCTTAAGCTGATTGGCTGGTCCCATAGCAACATCAGTGGGATATTGTCTAACGAACTTGAAACTTCAATGCTGATTGGTCAATTCATAACACGAACAGGACATTAACCCATACAAATTCAAGATTCAAATTCCAGATCCAATCTTTTCAAAAGCGGGTAGCGTATACGGGTAACTTCTTTATTTACCAGTGATGATTGTGAATGATCGTGTGAATTCTGTTGAGCTTGTCAAGTTAAAACCCATGAATTCGTTTAAAATTCAGTAAAATTGTAAGTAGAATAATTATTTTTATACATGTAATTCAATATGAGGCTTAGAAAAATGTAAAGATAAACATATACAGTAAGACACACAATACATTTAAATGAATTTAGGTGAATTATAAAACTGCCAAATCTTGGAATGTTACTATTTTTTAAAACTTCACCCATCAGGTGCAGATTTTATTTATAAAAATGAAATAACACTGAATATAGTACCAGTACCATTAAACTGGGTTTTTTTATTAATTCTTTTTAAAAAACCTGAAATTGTCACATTATTTATGAAAATTAATTATTCTTATGTCTTATCCCACAATAGTGAATACATACATATGCAGAGCATCTTTAATTTTGTTAGAGTAATTGTCGCTTTGAATGCAGACACACTAGCTGCGAATTTGTCAGAATATTTATAATAAACATGGTCACTGAGTTTCAAAAAAGAAACTAGAACAATAAGTAGTGTTATTTGTAGTATTTATCCGCTTGGGCTTTTTTGTCACATGACTTTTCCCTGTAGACAAACACAACAGCCTCGACACGACGGCCAAATTTATAAAATCGTAACTCAAAAACGACACAGGTTACAAAAATGAAATTTACCTGTCATAAATCCTGATATCTTGGGAATATACTAACCAAAAATCTAATAAATTTGACAGTCAGTTCTGAAGATATCGCTAAAAATGCAAAGAGGGGCTCCGTTCACAGTGCGTATACCTGTTTGTGTGTGAACCCACGGTCATCGGGGTCATCTGCACTTTGGTCATTCCGTGTCAATTCAACACGACTTTGGACCCGACCCTCACAGATTGAAACAATATTTGGTGCGATGATTTTTGAGCCTCATTTCAGAAAGGTTCATGATATTCTGATGTCTACCAGCCAACGGAAATATATAGTTTCGGATCAATGTTTCGAGTACTGAAAAGATTGTGGAAATCCAGCGTGACTCAATCAAGTGCGGAACAGATCGCGCCGCACTGTGTCAGTGTAGATGACGTCATGTGGCATTCACTTATTGGTTAGTTGAACATGGACAGTGTGCCACAGCTACATAAAGAATATAATAAGATTATGTACTGCATTTTTACCCATAAAATATCTCCACTTTTGGCCATCCGATTTAAAACATTTAAAACGTTTTCACTTTCTGAAAGCCGGCCTACATATTGAAAGAAAATCCAAGTTCAATAAGAGCCACACAAAAATCACCTAAAGAGCCTAGTCCTGTATTTCAAGTTTTCTTGGTGACTAGTCGTTAGTGGTGCCATAAAAAAGGGTAGTTTTTACATTTCCTAAAAAACTTCAGCGGCTTTGAACAAATTCCTATTCACTTTGTTTACAGCACACTTTTTAGCCAAAGATTTTGTAAATTTAGATTCAGTACATATTCTTTCACAGATTTGAATCAATGAAATATAAAAAAATTATTATGCGCAATGCTCTTGCCAGCAACTTGTCAAATTTTATTGCTGCATCACTGATAAATTTTTGTATTATTTTTTTGGGGGGCGACAAGATTCAAAGAATTACAATTGTTAACAAAGCGCAAAATTCCATCTTATAAAAGCGATTAATAAATACCTTGGAGAGTTGATGGTTTCTGATTGGTCGAGACTCGATCACGTGGCCGGGCATTAACGGTGATAATGGACCGGCTTTAAAGAACAAGCGAAAAAAATGGCCCCTGAACCAGCATTGATCCAGCCCCATGGAAGGCAATGATTGGCCAAATTTACAACATTCATACGGTAGCTTGTAACAATACGCACTGCACATGCGCTCAACCACTACTGACGCGCGCGTACGCAACACAGTTGCTATGGGTGTGCGCACGCGTAAGGAAGTTTTAAAACGGCTGGACATCGTACATGTACATACAGCATAGCTTGAGTAACTCCAGCTGACATGCTCCATATTCATTCACATGTGAATGAATATGGAGCATGTCAGCTGGAGTTACTCAAGCTACATACAGCAGTGCAGTATCTGATATACTGAGGATGTTTATGACGAAAGCGTAGATCTACGATTTATTTTGTTTAAACACTTCGCCCAACGACATATTTACCTTTCCTAAACCAAGCATCTTTGTAATTCTGGACACGAGGAGTGTGTAAACGAAATTTCAGCTTCCTCCATCAGGTAAAAATATGAAAACATTGTTGTAAATATTTTGTTTCGCTACGGCACTAGTAGAAGTCCAAACCCTGGACGTCGTACGCGTACGCAATGAAGATGTTGTCCAGCAATGTCCAGCACAGCCTGGGCCCGGCTGTTGGTGTATATAACAACGCTTATCGAAGAGACAGGGTGCCACGCATAAGTTAAAATATGGCCAATGAACATGAACACAAAAAAATCTGGAAATATGGCCGAAAAAAGTCACAAAATTGGAGCATTTTAACTGTTTATTTCGTTAAAAAGGTATTTATTAATGGGATTAACAGTGAGAGGATTCGGTCTTCACTGCGTGATAATGACCGCTGTTAATGGACCTCGACTGCGTCTCGGTCCATTAACAGCGGTCACCCCCAAACCCGGTCATTATCACGCAGTGAAGACCGGCTCCTCGCACTGTTATTCCCTTAATATATGCACATATTATCCACATCTATACTACAATCACGAAAATGATTGGAGGGCGCTGCCATTTTCCCGACCGGTCTCCCGTCCCGCCCGCGCCCGTTGGCCGCGGGGGATGCGGAACGGGGCCCGGCTATTTCCACCCTATTTCCCATAATTCCCTTCCCCATTGGGCCGCGCCGGCCATCTTGCGTATGGGGCCGGATAATTGACGTGCCCCATCGTACACGTATACGTTCGTTACGAGAGCATGCAGCGTATGGGCCGGATGAATATTGACGTGCCACGTATACGTTCGTATGAGCGCTGAGCATGCAGCGCATGCAACTTGCATGCCCCACATTTCTTCAGCACAGCGTTGTTGACATGGTTGATGTATCTGTTCCTTGCTCCAGTTTTCTCTTTGAACGGTAAGTCTCATTTATGATATGTATTGTTGTTTGTGAAAAGTGGTATTCTTTCGAACGCCACTGGCAATGAGAAGCATTGTTGTTTGTGAAAAGTGTGACTGTGAGTTTGTGAGTACGGGGAGGGTTGTACGGGGAGGGTTGTGGTTGTACGGGGAGGGTTGTACTTACGGGGGGAGGCCTCGGACATCGAGAGTTTGGCCGTGGGTTAACTTACTAGGCTTAATGTGGCCAATTTACTGCATGACCTCCATAAATACAGGCCTCACTTGGAACATGTACCCGAACATGTTTGTAGAACTTTGCCAACTCTTGATTTCACAATTGGGCTTTGTTTGTAAATTGTAGTTTATTTTTGGATTTTGCTTTAGTTTGTTTTAGGCCTAGGCTATCTTTGTGGTAATCTTAGAACACGGCAAATCATACGTAAAACTTCCTTTAAAGAAATGACTTTCATACTCATAAGTCATAGGCAAAACAAAATTAATTTACTGCGAATCAAAGACCAATAACCAACTTAATAAAGAAACCCTCAAATCAAAATTAAAGACGTGATCAAGTTCAAACCTCAGGCCAAATACCAAAAAATACAGGCAAAGACTAAAACCTGAAACCAACACAGTTAGAATAGTGGATCTTAGAGAATACACTCTGGCAGAAAATCAAATGACTTGACAACAGACATGAACCCAAGCAGGATAAAGAGCTATTGTTAGCCGATGTATTTTTTTTACAAGTTTTCTTCACCTTAATTAGTCGTTATTCTTTTCTTTCTAACTCATTTACACAGGACTCTCGATGACCCCCCCATCACATGACCAGCTCCAACCATGCTCCAAGCATGCTCCAGTGCATGCTTCACAGTTTTGTAATAAATACATTTAACATGTGGTGCTTGACATAATTATGAAGTGCTCCAATATGTCCTTTCTTTTAGTTTTACTCTCTTCTGCAAATAAAAGTGTTACAATACTTTGCTGTACAACCCCATCACCATAATAAAAACACCAACTGCTATAATGACATTAACTTCTACTTTAATAAGAAACACCCCCTTCACCATAACAAATATAAATTGTTGCCCACTTCCCCGGAAATATAATATGTGACCATTCACAGGTGTAACATAAATAGGCATGGGTGTTGCAAAAAAAAAAAAAAAAAAAAAAGAGGCGCGAAGTCATAGTGGTGTGAATTTAATGGGTTGGGGGGGGGGGGCAAAATGTCCCTGCCCCCCTTCTAAAACTGATAAATCGAGAATGTGTTGATAAAAACAGGATTTTTTTGGGCCAAAATATGTTTTGCCCCCTCTAGAAAAAATCCTGGCGACGCCCACACAATATCCAACCCCCACCCCCACTGGCTGCCCCCTCCTCTCCTCTGTAGTGAGAACGATGGATACGATGTTGTATAGGCCAAGATCAAACCGCGTTTCATCTAAATAACCTATTTGTACAGTTGGTGTATACGTCCTTAATGGTTTGGCACCTTGACAAATCAATGTTCAAATTGACTGGACAATATTCTAGCACAACATTATTTATGAGCTTTATATAATGAGACATCGCATGAGACAATCGGTCGGCAATAAATACTTAATTTCATTCAACTGTTGACAGCAAGACCTTCCTAATCGGCGCGCAATTTAAAACAACATTTAAACGGTATGAATCCCAGCACAAACATAAACCTCCGCAATATCAGTGATTTCAATATCACCATCTCCCCTCTATAACAAAAACCATTTCTCCCCGTCCCTGGAAATATTTCTCCCCATCCCCGGAAATATTGGTGACATGGTTGACGGGTTTTACGGAAATTGGGCGTTTCGACTAGCACCCTTCACCCTAGCTAGCCCCTTCCCCTATATTGACAATATGTCCTGGACCCTCGCACAATCTCCGCAGGAAACATTATGTGCGCGCACGTTGCTAAACGCAAATACAACTTAGGCGAGACTGATGGCGAGTCCAAATAGGCTCGCGTGCAGCAGAGGGTCTGATTCTTTATTTGACTTAACAGTTGCTTGGAGTTATTAGAGTTTAAATTATCGAGATTTCATTGTATACAGTAATTATTACGAAACAGTCAACTCCACCCATCTAGCGGGTGCCGCGCAAAGCGCGGCATCCCGCTAGTCTGAATTACTTGGCCACGGCTGATAATGGCACACCGCTATGGGGAGTGGCCTCAGCCACTTCCATAGCTGCATGTAAACTGCAAGCCGGCGGCCTTATAGCCTCCATTGTGTTCTTGATCTACCTGAGTAAAAACCCACATCCAACTGGGTCGTCGTCCTCCACAGTAAAGGTTGCCTCCCCAGTGTAGTTTGCTCTTCCTGCGACTTCCACAATGACTGCGTCTACGGAGCCACATTTGTCGTCTTGATGGCCTTACCGGTGAACCGGGTACCGGTGACGCCGCTTTCAAAACTACGGCTCTGCTGAAGGGCTATCAGGCCTCTGGCATGCTGCAGGGCAATGCGGGCTGTCACACCAGACCCACAGGGGCTGCGATCCACCTGCGAGAGGCGTTACAGAGCAGGGAGTAAATCTTGTGTGACAATTCCAAATATAGTTCCACAAACTGTATCAATAACTGAAGAGTACTATTTTGATATTGGACTTGATGCCTCAAACTTGGCTGCTGAAATAGGAATTCATCTTTTCCTTGATGAAATTTCTGAGAATGTTGTTGGCATATGGGCAATTCTGTAAAATCCAACATACATTCGACCAAATGATGTACGAAATTACCAGTTTGTTAAGGAGGCGATGTACCTCAGTTTGGTGTGTAATTGTTTTCTACTCTTTAGACGTCACATATTAGTGAAGTATCACACTTATTTGCGTGAGGGGAGGGCAGAGTTGTAATGACTCGAGTCAATGACTCGACTCAAGTCCGACTCGAGTCACATTTTTTGGCGACTCGACTCGACTCGACTCGAGTCCCGACGGGTAAATGACTCGACTCGAGTCACTGCGAGCAAATGACTCGACTCGACTCCAGTCCCTCATCAGAATGACTCGACTCGACTCGAGGAAGGCTAATAAGACTCGAGTCCCAAAAATAAAAGCAAAACTTATTTGCGAAAAATATTTGCAAGACAGTAAGTAATAAGCCAACTTGTGCATTGTCCAAGAACATGAATTAAGGGCTTGGTCCAAACGTTTCATACTTTAGCATAAAAAAAGTTGTAACTTGAATACTTGATATAGGCCTATTTTTTTCTCAGAAAGTAGAACTGCATAGGATCTGGGATACGGTCATGACGGTCAATGTCAAATGTGGTGTCACCACATGTAGTAGCCCGAATTTCAAATAAAAAAACAAAAGAAAATGACTTTCTCTCTTGTGTTTGTTGCTTGTTATTGTATTTATTGTATAGTGTTCAAATATTTGTGAATCAAATTGACTCGAGCTAAATAGTTGACTCGACTCAACTCGACTCGACCACACACTGCGACTCGACTCGACTCGACTCGACCTTGTTGACCTAATGACTCGACTCGACTTGAGTCACTTCTTTAAAATGACTCGACTCGAGTCACAAAAATCAGTGACTCGTTACAACTCTGGGGGAGGGGGGCTTGAGGTTACAATGGGGGGGGGGGGGGCGCCCAACAAATTTCATCCGTCCTGAAAGGTAGACAGGGTTTTTTCACCGGACAACTGCCCTCCGTAAAATCAACTAGTGAGGGGGGAGGGGCCGGGGGCTGGACACCATCTTCCCATAGGGGCGCTGTTCAAAATGTATCTCATGGCAACATTACACAATAACTACAGCTATTCGCTTTCCAAGGGACGTTACAATAAACATCCATTTGCAAAAAGTTTGGGTAAAAAATATGCACAAAATCGCAGAAAAAAAGGACTTTATGTTCTTCCAGCTAATCATGGTAACTCATATAGCAGTGCTTTCTCAGGATGACAAATTTTCAGTGGGGGGCGACTGGGGGGCGCGAACTTTTTATGGGGGGCTGCTTCAGATGCACTAATTTGTGTTCCTCTGTAGCTCAAACCATGCAGGATGGATCATTAAGACACTTTACAACGGATGTCAAGTGCAAATTTGAAAAGTGGAATATTTCAGGCAAACGCTTTGTGGCTCAATGAAAAGCATGTATTATTACCGCTGCATCAGCAAAGACGCATATATTAGCAGTAGGCTGGTCACTCCATGCATCCTGCCCGTCAGTCACAATGACACCATACAAGAAGTCCAGGTCATTCCCGTCGCTGTCAGGATGCTTGATGGGAACCTGGGCCTTGACAGCATTGCTGACGGCAGTAGCAGCCTTCACGATATCCTGGACACCACTCTTCCTGACATCTAGACCAAACTCTTGCGCCGAGATGAAGGCGTAGAAGGCACCGCCATAACCGATGTCAACTTTGAGTTTGCCGTATCCCTCCACATTCACTTCAGTATCTAAGAAAAATTAAGTGTCAAAAGGATGTTGGATTAGCTCAGAGCAGTGAATTTATGAAGGCAGGCCTTCCAACTCTCACAGTGTGAGACTCCCGCATTTCAGGTTATTCTTACGCTCTTATGCCCACACAGGATTTCTCACACTAAAAAAAAAAAATTAATAATTGATTTCAAACTCAAAAATGACGTTAAGGCCTAAATGATGATCTTTTGTTCAAACAATTGGTAAATGTGGTCAGATATTGCCTCAGATGGCACAAAGCGTCTAGAATCCAAAATTTTCCAGGGCCCTTGAGTGGGACCTGAACCCTAGGCCGCTAGGATTTCGCGCCACCGCTCGCAATAGTTCTGATCAAGCTCCATCGAATTCTCACTCTCAGCTCTCACTCAAGTTTGCAGCCCTGTGAAGGAGTATTCTGAAACAGGTGCAGGAGGTGCTTCAAGTCAATCGATGCTCTATCATTTGCATGCAACTCTTAATTTCAGCACTCCCGAGTCCAGACACAAGAAACATCTGGTTTCAAGAAAATCATTCGAAGAACAAGATAGGGATATTTTAGAAGTGTCTGGATGTCCATGCCCACCTATTGTGCTTACCTTTCAGTACAATTGGATGGTGGAGGTACAAAGGGTCAGCACAATTGCAGAACACCTGGCATACCGGCACCTCAACTATCCACCTCATACTAGTCACGGTTGATTGCCAGTGCGCACGCGTCATGCTCCATTGCACTCCCACTCTGCAGGCTTGTATGCAGGGGTGGGGTGGTGGAGTCCTGGCATGGTGGGGGGGTGGGGTGGTGGGGTGGGGGGGGGGGGGGGGGGGGGGGGGGGGGGCGGGGGTTGGCGTTGGGGGGGGGGGTCAGGGTGGGGGGGGGATCGGACGATTTTTTATTTGATTGGGTTTTTTTTGGGGGAGGGGTATTAGTTTTCATGTTGCACTTGCAGGATGTTCTGCAAAACTACCAGGGGTCAGAAGGAATTAAGAACATGCCGAACAAAGACACCAAGTGCATTAAAACATTTCGCAAATAATGCTAAATCTGACAGATTATCAGAAATATGTAATACCCCCTGCCTCCACCTCACCCCCCCCCCCCCCCCCACCACCTACCCTTGCAAAGATTAGAATGCAACATGCAAGTTTATTTATTTTCAAGAAATCAACAGAATTTAGGCATAGGCCCATAGGCCTACTTCATCATTTACCAAGTGCAAACGCAAATGCAGGCACGCTGTGGAATCTCACTTGACCGGTCTTCTTCCTCTCCTCGTCGTACTCCACGAATGCCTTGACCAGACCACAAGGACACTGCACGCCTACCTCGGTCTCTGGATGCTTTGGCACAACCACCCCATGATCTACAGCATATCTGCCCAGGGCAATGACTCCGTGACCACACATTGTGCTGTAGCCCTCATTGTGGGTAAACAGTACGGCGAGATCGGCGCCCGGTACGTCAGGTTCTACCAGGATCGCCCCGTACATATCGTAGTGGCCTCGCGGTTCAAACATCAACATTTTGCGAAGGTGGTCCAACTTTTCTCGCGCAAACCGACGCTTTTCTAAGATAGTTTTCCCCTCGAATTCTGGGTAGCCCGATACTACGACTCGAAGAGGCTCACCAGCGGTGTGCATTTCGATAGTTCTCAATTTAATTTCGTTGGAAAGTGATTTTACCTCCGGAGCTGAAGACATCTTGCTTGGACGATCGTAGTACATAAAACTACGCGCGTGGCGGATATGGGTATGGCGCGCTCAAGGTACATGGCCGTGGCGGCACGTGGCCGACTGGTGTGCTCAAATGTGTATCCTTGTGACGTGGAGACACGCACACAATAGGGAACAAAACATTGTCGGTCTCCACAAGGCAATTTCTATGGATGAATAGGTCTCCACAAGGCTTTCACGAAATAGATATATGGATTTTACTCAAAAACAAGGAATTTCCAAGGTGGGTTGATCCGTCGCAAATGGAAGAGTTTTAGAAAAGGGATTATATAAGTCCGAATTTCAGCCAAGGAAATTAATAAGGGAATAAATGTGTGCTCTGGAGGTTTTTATCACTCTGTTTAATACCACTTAGAGTCTGGGTGCTGATAATTACCCGAGCCGGAGGCGAGGGTAATTATCAGCACCCAGACTCTAAGTGGTATTAAACAGAGTGATAAATACCGACGGAGTACATATTTATTCCCATTCATAAATACCTTTTCGGTAAAAAAAAATCATATAATTCGTTCAAAACATCCCGATTTTGTTCAACAAATTCACTTTATGCTTTTTGAATCATCCCTCCTGCAAAATAATGGAGTGTTCAGCTGGCGAGTAAGATGAAAACAACCCTTTTATGGAGATTGACGCGCGCGTATCATGTTCTATGCGATGTCGCGCAGAACGCACCTGGCGCGTTGCGTTTTGAATTTAGAACTATAAAATTCTAACTCCCTGGTAGTGTTGCGCATGCCTACGTGAGGATTGTGAACGTTCAACCAATGAAACGATAAGAGGCACTGGATTTTTAGGAGTCCACATTTTATTGTGACACTGGAAAAGTGTTTAAGACCAGCTAGCCATGTCTTTATCATCCGTTTAATACCGGCCATGTGACAGGCTCTCGACCAATAGGAATGGCTAAACTGTCTGAGGTATTTATGAATTCTGGTTAAAATAAGAGCATTTTGAAACTTCACTTTCAAAATTGAAAACTTTACTACACGAAAACAAAGAAATGTCTCCACAATGTTACACATTATTTTGAGAGTGTGGTCGTGGCTGGTGGGCGTGGCAACCGCGAGGCCATCTTATCTCCCATTCTCGCATCATTTCTAATGGTCACTATTTTTCTTATTTTTTTTTTACAACATTGAAGCACGCACTCGTACGTAAAGGATGTCAAAAATACATTCCTCAATCCTCCGCCAAGGAGCGGAGGCAACATCTCTTGCAACCCCTGTTTTGGGTGTGCCCCCCCCCCCCTTAAACAAATTCCTGGATCCTCGCCTGATTGGTCTCCCAGATCAAGCGAATGGCTCATTGCCTCAAAAATAAATATTGATTTAATCGGTAGGGACCCCTACTTATCCAAACGAACAATTCTGTTGAATCTGTACTCAAAAGAATTAATTATATTGGCTTGTACATCTTACAGGTGTAAAAACTATGAGTTTATTTGTTCATACCAATTCCGTTTATTCATTATACCTTGCACAAGCGTACCCCCCCCCCCCCCAATTATTTGTAAAGAGTGGCCTTTTTGTTTAAGAATGCCCTTTTTTCGGAACAAGTGCCCTTATTTAAAAAGAAGTGGTGCCCTTTTAGTGGCATGTGCTGTTTTGGGTGCCTTTTACTGAATTTCACACACATATCGCCCTTAAAAGCACTATTTATTGGCCGTTTGTGTGCATAATTGTCATTTTTGAACAGCGCCCCCATCGACAGATGGTACCAGCCCCCCCCCCCCCTTGATTTTACGGAGGCCATGTGTCTGGAGAAAAAAACCTGTGTACATTTCACCACGAGTGCCCTTTTCAAAAATTTGTTACCCCCCCCCAATAAAAATGACCGTTCTACGCCAATGCCTTGTGTATACCCTTGATGTTTACTTCCAATGGAAAATGTCAGTGCCAAAGACAAAGAATCAAAGGTGGGGGGGGGGGGAAGAATCTGTATCCACAGCAGAGGTGATTCTGGACTGCAAGTGTTGGGAAGCGGGCTTCAAGTTAAGATATTCCAATGGACCTTTTAGCTTTTCTTAGCTTTTCCAAATCCTTATAATTTTGTGTTTAATGATACACATCTGCCACATAGTAAAAATGCACACAGGCAATTGCAGTCCCAAAATCCCATTCCATTTTGTAACTACAACCCCAATTCTGATACAGATCCATACCAAACTTTAAGTAAAATACCCTACAAAACCTCTCTCACATTCTTACTTTCAGTTCCATAATGCTATAGGTACAACTCGGTACAAAGAAAGAACGAATGGCTTTTTCCACCAATGCAGCTAACATCAAAGCCGCTGTCACAACTTAGAAGCCAACAAATGTAACAATGGGAAGTGAAAGTTCTTGTGTACATCTTTCTGCACAGACCATAGGTGAATCCAGGAGAGGAAGACGAATGAACACCGCCCCCCCCCCCCCCTCCGCCCCCACCCCCAAACCGGGGCATATAGAAAATGACACATTGAAAAAGCCGCCAAGCCCCCAGTTAAGGCAGCCAACCCCCCCCCCCCCACACCCGGTACCCCCACCCCCCAACCCGCTCCCCCCACCAAATGGTACTCAGGATCCAAAAGTATTATGCACTTCCGTCTGTCATTTCAAATGTTTTTGATCCAAGTTGAGAGCATTTAGTTTATCTTCTTTCCAGCATCATTCCTTAGTCTATCTGAGATGTTCATCTTCTTCATCTTCTGATGAGGAGGAAGAGGAAGAGGATGATGCAGATGTTGATGAGGATGACTCGTTACCTTCCTCTGGGGGAGACTTGAGATGATCAGGCATCTTTCCCAGAGCACTCTGAAATTGTACACAAAGTAGCAGGGATGTAGTCGAGTCTATCATAAGTCCATCACAAGTTCATCACAAGTCCAATCAGATATAAATCACAAGTCCAGTCACAAGAAACAATGGAGGAACAATAACAAAGGAATGCCTTTGTGCAAGCTCATGGGCTTGCAGGGACTTGCAGGGACTTGTGATGGACTCAACTTCATCCCTGCAAAGCAGCAGATAATTAACTCCAGGAAAAAGATAAACCAAATACTAGTTTGCCAGACGAAGCAATAAATTACACAAATTTTACAATACAATGCTTCAAGAAACAACCAAGTCAATTTAGAAAACTGTTGCAATGCATCTCTAGTATACCCAAAAAAAATTGGAAACTCAGTTCTTCAGAAGCTGCCAAGTACATAATGGTCGTTGCTTAATTTCTATGAAAGACACTACAGTTATGATGGACAATAGAAAATAATGAAATTTTAAGAAAATGAGGACACAATGAAATGGTTGTTCTATCCACATTGCATCTACTATTGCCCATATTCACAGGAACTTTCAGTGTAAATAATAAATCCATCTTGTTTTTCCCAAAACTGTTTCCTTAAATTGGTGAAAATGACATTTGATAAACATGTAGTACCTTTGTTACTTTCAGAGCAACTCCTTCTGGGAGATGTCTCTCTACATATTCCAAGAAAACATCCGCCGAGCTCCCAGTTACGTGCTTCAACTAGACAAATGAAGAAAATAAAAGTAATATGTCACAATAAGACTAAACATCTACAGACATGACTCTGAACCTTGAAAGTTAAAAAGTTAGCCTAAAAGAAATCTTGTACCCTTGTTAATTTTCAAATGTACATATGATTTTGGTATTTCATCTGGGTGCATATTTTATTCATTCATAAAAAAAAACTTTGAAAGAAAATAATTGACAACTTAGCATGTTTTTTTAGGTTAAAGGGAATGTACATCATTGGCGCTTTTGCTGTAATTTTCAGAAATGAACTATTTTGAGGGGTTAGTATAATAGATCAAATATTGTTACACTGACATGTTTAAAGTTTTGTGTTCGAAAATGAAGGAAAAACCAAGAAAAACAAAAATGTTCAAGTAGTCTGGTTCCCTGACTCCACTAAAGATGAAATGGATCAATTTATAGATGCCGGAAATTGTAAGGTAATGGAACCAGTCTATAGCCTGCACCCATTCATGAACATGTAACCAATAGCAAACAAAATTTGGACTGAAAAAAATTGGTAAATTTGGAGCAGTAGTTGAAAAATAGTTAGGTTTTTCCAACGGTGGTCGGCCGACCATGGTTGGAAATTTATACAAAATACCACTTTTCTTGAAAATGACTTCACACCTGGTGCCATAATTTTACAGGATGCTTTAGACTGTCATTTTAACATCCTAGTAAGGGATTTCGTTAAAAAAATGGTGGTTTTGTTTTTCGATGTTTGCAAATGTTGTATATTCCCTTTAAGAATCAAGTGAATGTTTACCTCAATAATTCTAAAGTGTGTTCTCATCTCATACTGTACTCTGTGCTTCTTGTAGATGTGTCTGGATTTCAATAAAGTTAACCGTTGGATCTTCCTCAGTGGTTTGGATCTGGGCAAAAAAAACATTAAAAGAAAAAGCGTGTCTTTATTAATATTACAATTTCATACAAATGGATCAAGGATTTTAGTAGAGCTTTGTCCATAAAATGTGATACTTCAGAAATATTTTAATTTGCATCAGCATTATGTAATTTTTTTTTATTTATTTATTTATTGTTTTTGGGGGGGTGCAGTACCCAAACCATACCATGCATGATTATGTTGGTGTTATTATTAAGAAGGGACAAGCAATTCGGGCAATTCACAATGCAGTGCGCCACCAATAGTTTGCCATGGAGAGTCAACTTTTCAATTTTACCGTCGACAAAATATGGCCCATTTGAATGAGTGTCAGTAGACAACTTGAGCTATTATGTTATAGATAGGGGCATAGCGTTCTGCCGCCTTACAAAAATCACCATATTGATACAAAGAATATAAAAGGGCAAACATATACTCTAATCATACGCTTACAAAACTACTGACCGGAAAAAACGAACAATTTCAAATGTCCCGTGCTGCGAATTTGTCGACCATCTCCCACAATGCACTGGGCAAAAAGAACTCTCCGTGGCAAACTATGGTGGTGCTCTGCATTGTGAATCGCCCGAATTCTTAGAATTCCTCAAAAATATCACATTTCAAGAAATTACCAAACCCACCACATTTGCAGATATAAAACTTGCAGGTTTTTCTATGTCCATAAGTGAAGACGCCAATAGGTAGTGTATGGAAACCACCACTTCAGTATTATTTAAAAGAACTCCCAACCTTGGCAAGTAACATAAAATACTAAGGGGCTTCTTTTTGAAAAGTATGAGACTGCTCTCTTGATTGCACATACAGTTTTGCAGAAAACTTCTTTTTTTTCCAAACATTTTTCTTTTAATTGCAATAAATTATAAACAAAAAATACAAGCAAAGAGTGGGAATCGTCCACACCTAAGGCTGATCACTTTTTCAAAGAAAGTTCAAACGATGCTTACATGCTCTGCACTGTAACCCCTAGCTCCTTGGCTGCCATGGAAACAAACGCCTCATAGCTGTCCAGTACGGCCTCGTCGTGACCTTTGACATTTAACTCAATGGATTTGTACAACGTGTCCAATTCTTCTTCTTCTTTGTCCTTCATTAAACAAACAGAAAAGGTGGGTCATGTAACAGCACCACAGGCAAGTTGGATAACAAGTAAGACTTGCACAACTGTAGTCTTTTACTAACAAATTTGTTTCACTCTTAGCAAAGCAACTTGTCTTCATAAAAATTTAAATCCAATGTTTGTTTTTTTAAACGGACCAAACCTCAATGAGCTCATTAGCAACCAGAAATCAGTCACAAGCAGTTAACATTATGTGACGTTATTAGAAAAAAACTTGATTTTAGCACAACATACCTCACTAATGGTGCTTTCTGATGCCTTCTGGTGTGTTGGTGTACTTAAGGCTCGATGGAAAGTCTGACAATAGCTTCCAGGCAAAGGCAGATTGTTTACTGTGTTAAAAATAAGAACAAAATGCATTTTCACTGTTTGTATGTAATGTGAACTTCTAAAAAAAAACTAGCGAGAGATTACACTTGAATGGATGTCCGTTAAGTATCGTTAATGATTAACCGCATATCCTAACATTAGGCAAGATAATTTTAATCAAACTATATGCACAAATGTATGTCAAGGATAGCCACAGACAACTGTACAAATGCACACTTTCTCAGAATAGCTGGAAGGGACCAAATCCAAATATTAACACATGGTTCCAGAAAGATAAATATTTACCAATCATTAACCCAAACTCCCTAGGATAATTTACTAGGAACCGTACCCATCCAGGCAAATTCCAACACCCACATGGGAAATCGTACACACACAATGTTGAACTTAGTTTCTGGAGGTATGCCAAACCCAATGTAAAAGACCATCAGTTTAGGGGTACTGTACCCATTCTGACAGATTTCAACAACACCTGCCGTTGGACTTTGATGGGTTGAGTTCGGTTAGGGTTAAGTTTGTAAACAATTTTACATTTCTGTGGTACCATATGGCATGTAAATATCCAGAAAATAATTATCAACCTACAAAGGCTTGTTGCTCAAGAAGTATTGGGTAGCTTATAGCACGTTACTGATTTAACAAACTCTGTATCAGGGTTTAGTTAAATAAATGTATAAAATCATAACATTTAACACAAGATTCCACTTACAGTGAGACTTTTGTCCTGTACAGTACAGTCTGCTGTGCAGTGTTGAGCTACATGATAAATGAACAAAGATAAGACAAAATTGTGAAATGTGTCCATGCTCATTATTTTATAGATGAGGCAAAATTGTATTAACATTGTATCATTTTAAAACAAATATGTATTCTTTTACCTTTAATTTATCACTTGAAATGTTACTTAACATAAACAGATTTTAAAAATATGGAAAGATTTCCATATACGAAGTTCACTAATTTTCCTCTGTATTGACTAACAAGCCCCCAGATAGCAATTTCATGTCATCAAAGTCAATTTGAGCAGTGAGAAAATACAAGCATTTTCTTAGAAAACACTTAGAATTTTTCAGTCCACTCTCATAGGGTTTTACACAGGGTGTTGAGTGAACTTCGTATATGGAAATCTTTCCAAAAATATATTTGATTTTAAACATTAAATGTTGAAGCTGTAGCATCCTGCATGCTCTTCATTCCAAAATTGTACGCAAGGTTTTGCCCTTCGCTGACATGATAAAAAACATTGCATACTCAGTATTGTCTGAGGGCTTGTGAGATTAAATCACATGCTTACTTGGGTAGGACTTGAACCCACGAGCATCAATGTATACAAACTTTTATAGGTCTCTCTCAAATGACGTCACTTCTTACAGATTGCCACGTGCATTGACATTTAGGGCGTCAAATTTTCGTGATGTGCATAGGCTGACCTGTACTTCGATGAAATTTCATGCAACATGCGCACGTGTTTAAAACATTTCGCACACTACCAACACACGCACCTGATGATGTTGAATACGCAGTTGTAATTTTAAATATGGCATACTATGTGAGAGATCTATACCTATCACAATGTAATAATTTTTTTTTCATAACAAAATGTAGATTCCTTCTGTAAGTTGTTTTCTGGGGAAATTCATCACATGCACATTTTTGGGTTGTACCTTAGGTTATTTTGGAAGAAGTTGCACCATGTGGAAAGTCCCAGTACCAATGCTGGATGACAGCTCTTGGTAAATTGGAGAAGTCCCACCTACATGTGTAGGAAGGAAAACAAAGCAATCAAGTTATCAACAGAATGGTTCTTGGACTTAAATTTTAAAAAAGGGGAGTGGGCAATTGATAGGTGTGTAAAAAATAATCATAGAAAGATCACTTTTAGTTGCACAAGTGTGCACTGTTTCTGCAAAATCAAACACCCAATACTCATTGTGCGTCAATTTTTTATTTCATTTATGCATCGGTAAGGCCAAAAAAAATAATAGTTCTGCTTCCGGTTTCCCTACCTACCCTATTCTGACAGCCCCTTCCCTAATTTTTTTTATTGGAAAAATGAGAAAAAAACACCCAAAACCATCACTTTATACCTTTTACCCTTGACGCCTCCATATCATCGTACACAAAAAAAAAATTAGTAAAAAAAATTTCCTACCTACCTACCCTATTTTCGAAATTCATGTAATCGGAAGCAGAACTATTTTTGGGGTTTTTTTTGGCCTAATGAATTAAAACGCAGATATTCAAAAAAAAATTCACAAGTATGGATAAGCCTTACTTCCAATTCTGCTTGAGTGAACTTGCACAATGGATAGTGGGAAGAAAAATAGACACATGTAAAAATGGTTACACCTCTATGTTCTGACACCCCTATGTTCCGACTGCACATATTCCTATTCCTAACCCTAACCGGGAGTAACACAATCTAGGTTGTCGGAACATAGGGGTGTCGGAACACAGAGCAGTCACCGTAAAAATGATACATTGCCCCTTCTTTTCCTTAAAAGTGCTTTGTAGCTAGGCCTACTCTGTAAAATCACCAACATTAAAGAACTTACTGATGCTGATAGGCCGCAATTTACGATAAAGTCCATGTGCCCAGCAGGCTACATTGTGTATGCGAGTTAGTAATTTAAAGGTCTGATGACGTGAATGTTTCTTAGGAATATATATTTTGCAACTTTCTACTCCCCTTAAGTTAAAATATATGAACATTATTTGACATCCCTTTTTGGTTAATTTCATTGAAAAGTGTGTTTCCTTTTTAAAATGTAATTTCGTGTTGGAATTTAGAACGTGTGAAAAAGAACCTGGAAATTACTCGAAATATAGACATCTGAAAAGGGGAGACAAATTTTCTATCGCTTTAAAGAGGGTGAGTGTGCTTCTAAAGCGTAAATACACTACAAACAAAGTCTAAATGTGAACATTTGGACATGGTCGCCCGACCATGTCCAAATGTTAAAAAAGCGATCCGTAGAGGCCTAGTTACTCGGACTACGTAAATAAAGGCCACACTTGCAACATGTCCAAATGTTAAAAAAGCAATCCGTAGAGACCTAGTTACTCGGACTATTATTTACGGAGGTAGTCCAATAAATTGGCCATATTTATGAGGCTAATTTAGGCCCAACGGAGAAATATCCAAAATTTTGGCAACTGTTTGTGATGCTGAAACTGCAACTTTGAGATCTTTGCCTGAAATAACATCACACTTTGCTCATGAATATGGAAATTCACATTAGCATAAAACAGGGGTGTGAGTGACCACTGATAAAAATAGCTGAAACAGCTGAAAAAAGGTGTAAAAAAAGTTGAACTTTGGAAATCTCCTATACTTTTGTACGCAGCCAGCCAGTGAGGAAAAAAAGCTGAAATCCAAAACAAAAAAAGCTGAAAATAAATCAGCTTTAAAGCTGAGATTTCACACCCCTGATTAAAGTGTTAAAAAAATAAAACTATTACTGCATAAACCAAAAAGGCACCCAAATTTCCTTGGCTTGAATTTGAAATTATGAAAAATCAAAAGAGGAATGAATGGTAAACAAGGGGGTCAGACAAGTCGACCGTTGAGACAACTCGACTCGGGACAAGTCGACCGTTGAGACAACTCGACCGTTGAGACAACTCGACCGTATGTGCGATAAATGGAAAGACAAGTCGACCGTTGAGACAAGTCGCCTCGCATGTTTTTGGGCCTAGTTTTGGGGATAGTACCGGGGATTTTGACGGCGGCTGATCGCCGTTTGGGAGTTATGACACGTAACAGAGCAGAGCCGATATAGCGCAGCGTGATTGTCCGTGCACATCGTTCGTTTTTGCCGGGCCTGTGCGCGCATCTCCGGTCAACCGCGTGGCCGTACCGTGCACGTGCCGTGCACGTTAGCTGTCTCAACGGTCGAGTTGTCCCGAGTCGAGTTGTCTCAACGGTCGACTTGTCTCAACGGTCGAGTTGTCTCAACGGTCGACTTGTCCCGAGTCGAGTTGTCTCAACGGTCGACTTGTCTGACATTCAGTAAACAAACACTGTCAGTGGTCACTGACAACGGTGAATTTTCAAGTATTGCATTACAAAAAATACATTGCATGAGCCCTTTAATTAATAATTACCCGGTATTGTCTATGACAAGTCTAACAACATAATTACACGGGGCGCAGCGCCAGGCAATGTGTGGAACTTGAAGTGGGGCGAAATGGATAGAATGGGGCAAACAAATACCGACAACATGTCTTAGACTCTTAACAAACTATACAAATTGTAAATGGTAATGACACTATTCAGTGAAAAACTAACACATTTTACTCATAAACATGTCAACTTCATTCAGCTTACAACTACAACTAAAAAGCCTATTGCAATACCTGATGAAATATGCGCGAAGTTTTCCGCAAACTACAAAACACATTCAGTGCACTCATGGAGGCCGCCATTTTGACTGGCAAGACATTTTAAAAATACATTTTGTAATATACCGTTCGCAAATAAATTTATACACAAAAGAACAATAATATTTTTTAATTCGATACTTTTAAAATAATTGTATTCATCTTTAATGCTGTAATTGCATATGGACATTTTAGAGATATGATGCATCACACATAACAACTGAACGAGGATGCTGCGGTCTCCATAGCGCCGAGGCTAGGTAGGTCATTACGTGATTTACCGATGTCTGATGCTGAAAAATAAGGCTTAACAATAACAATTTTGTCATAAAAAGGATGGCATGTCTCTGAAGAATTATTAAAGAAGTTTATATTTTAGAATTCTAGAAGAGGATCGAAGTAAAAGACAAAATGGCAAGTACAATGAGACAAGTTTTGCTTACTAAATTATGCTCGATGGCTGACTGTCTGTGCGGCAAAAAATGTGCGGTGCCGTGGGCCGGCTTGCCACCGGGGGGGGGGGGGGGGGGGGGGTGCATCTTCCATTCGTAAAAAAAAAGGGTGTGCAAAATAGTGATAATAGAAATAGGCCTACCCCTTTTTAAAGTTTTTAATTCCACATTTAACTGCATTTAGTGAGAAGAAAGGTGATGTGACAATCGAGCATGATTGATGGTGATTTGAGGTCGGTTCGTGTTGTGGGCGAAAAGATGCGAGCCGAGAAAGATGGTTGCGCAATTATTAGTCGGCACGAATTTGGGGCATTGTACGATATACAAAACATGTATCGTGTGCACGCTTCTGTCCACGAAGGGAATGAAATACATGTATGTCCCAACATTGGGGGCGCCACCCCTTCTTTTCCACCCCCCCCCCCTCCCCCCTTCCCCTATTTCACAAAAACTGCAACTCCCCGATTTCTCTTTTTGGTGAAATTTGCCTCTAGTCCTATTTTTTCCATTGTTCACAAAACAGCATTTGGAAAGCTTCAGGACAAATTCATATCACTCAATTTGAATTACTGCCTTGAATCAATGTTACACAAGAAATGTTTGATATGAAGTACATGTAGGTAGGCCTACAGACATTTTGACAATTAAAAAAATGTGACAATTGGTTTAACATGATACACATTCTCTTATTATTTTATACAGTCAAAGGGAACAACAATAAAGGATGCTCTTGCAAGATGGGTGAGTTGACATTAACCCTTTGTGTTAGATCTTGTAAATGTACCATGAGAGAGTGTTGGACCTTTCATTCATTAATACACAAATGATTTATGATTTAAATGAAAACCATTGTAAACAATAGTTGTGTTTGACACCAAAGGCACAAGTTTTAGTCTGAAAGAGGGAAGAGAGGCCTGAATTTTTGTGGTTGAAATGTTTGTTTGTTGGATTTTTTAAACCAAAAAATATATTTTTAACCTAAGAAGAGCGTGGTGGGCAAGGACTATTTCAATATCTAAGGAGAACAATACCTGAAATTCTATGTTTTACTTACAGATGCCAAAGCACACAAAAACAGATTAATCTCAACGGCTACGCTGAATAAGCGTGGTGGGCAAGGACTATTTCATTATCTATGGAGAACAATACCTGAAATTCTATGTTTTACTTACAGATGCCAAAGCACAAAAAAAAAAGATTAATCTCAACGGCTACGCTGAATAAGACTTTTCCACAATCCACGGGTTGCTGTTTTGTCAATTTAACCATTTGATAATGGAAATTATGTGAACATCCCATATTGTGTGATATTGAAATCCACGCAGGCAGAGAAGGAGAAGCAAGAGCAGGGATGTGAGGTCAAAGTCAGCGAGGCCAAAGTGGTCAAGTTGTACTTCCAAATCCCTCCCATTGAGAAGATGGATGCCTCACTCTCAACGCTCACCAGTTGCGAGTAAGTAGTGGCTGAGACTGAAATTGTCTCAGGGGTTCATATTCTGTGCTAGTCCGAAAATTTGGGACTCTCCATACTGTGTATGAGAGTCCCAAAACTTAAGGCATTGAAAACATGCAAAACAAGAAAATAGACTGGCACCTAAAACAACCAGTCCAACACAGCTTCAGTACTGCATCAATCAACCAAAATTTAAGAAACATGTGGCATGAACCGGGAACTAGTCTCAATTTACTACACATTTCTCCATAGTCAAGCCACCAGACTATTGACACTGAAAGAAGAGGTCAGTCTTTTCAAATAGTTGGATCCTGGTTGGACATGTACCAGTCTAGTATTTAGCCCCATTTTGAAATCACTTGACTTCCCTCTCATGTGCAAAATATTGAAGAAAAGTCTCCTTTAAAAATTGAATTGAGTCTGCAAACTTGTTTGGTGAAATACTGAGGACATTTTCTTTGCCCTAGTGGATTTTTTGGAGAAATTTGCTGGCTAAACTGTGAGTAAAGTGGGCCTGATTTAGTTTTGCACGTTTCAGAGCACTCCAGAGCCCTGTCTGATTCTGTGCTTGCAGTCACTAGTATTGATATTACCTCATTTTGGAACTGTACAAGATTAAAAAAAAAAAAAAGCTGTATCCTCTCTCTCTGTGATGCAGCTTGCTATTTTATCGGGTTTGTAGCATTGCTGATGTTGCTTGGATTGTGCCCTTAGGGGTGATCTCTGGCTACATGGCATGTTCAGGGTTATGGCTTCTGACTAGAGCCCCTTGAACAGAGACATTGACAAAATGGGGAACCACCAACATAGGGCTGGATAGCTCAGTTGGTAGAGCACCGGGGCGGCAATTCAAAGGTTGCAGGTTCAAGCCCTGTGCAATTTTCTTTGTTCAACTTAAAAACAAAAATCGAATTGTTTTCCAAATGTCTTACATGTAGGAATAGGATTAGGGCTCAAATTGAAAATGTTTTTGTCTGTTGGTGAATACGCTGGTTTAAGCTTGGAGTATTTATAACCTCTTGTGGATCTTGGATTTGGAATTTTTCTTGACATAACTGGGGTCATTTTCTAAGTCCTTCCGAGCGTGTTAACTTGCTTAAAAATCACCTAACAAAAAGAAAAGGATAACCAGCCAAAATTGAATTGATTTAATACTGCTTGGCCTATGACAGAAATGTTTGTGCAGTAGTTTCTGTCCAGCAACTCCATGAAATTGGACCTAGAACAAAGACTGAATCCAGGTCCATATATCATCTTAAAACCCAATACCACAAATTCCAATAACATGTTACAGTGTGTAGTTCCTAATGCATGGATGTTGTCTTTGCAGGAAGTTGTCCTTGTCAACCAACTGCATAGAAAAGATAGCCAACCTGAATGGTTTGAGTAAGTACAGCTGCAGTCTCTTTCTTTATTTGGCTGTGGAACCTGGTGTCATTGTAAGAATGGTCAATTTTACCAGACAGTTCCTGAAGTTTGTTGATTTCTGTTCAGGGCCCTGTCTGTAACTTTGGTTTAGACTGAAAATTATGAAAAGTGTCCACTGTCGGGGTTTTGTTCAGAACTAGTAAAGTTCCAGGTTACTCCAGCTTATTTAGAAAAAAAACCCCAAAAAGACTTACAAAAATCCAAAGTGTATGATTGAAATCTTGAAGCAGGAACCTCAGTTAAATGCCATGTATGTTTGTGTGTATAGACGATGTGACATTTGTTTTAATTGGATATTGTAGTCACGTGATGCCAAATTTCAGCAAATGGTTCTCTTCTGCACTGCATAATGTACATGAATATGTCTTGAAATATGAATGGTTTAAAAGCCTTGGCATTTACTGTTTAAAGGTACAGTCCATCATTTGAAATTTTGTGCTCAAAATCTGAAGAAGGGTGCTGAACAACTAACCCGATGAAGTTTCAGCTCAGCTTCGGCTGTATATTACGAGAAAAACAACATTCTAGGATCTTGATTTTTAATCAAAAGTTGCTGAATCATGTTTTGAATTGGGCCTGAATTCAGCGTCCGAGACACGTTCTCACTGAGCCGATTGCAGCTACACGATGTCGCGCACTGATCCGACGAATTATAGCAACCACGCGCGCGTGTGCGTTGTGTCAATGCTGGCACGGGCTTTGCCGAATAAAAAAAACGAACTAATAACGGAAATCGTTGGAAAGGCCTTCTTTCGTGGATTTTTTCAAAATGACAGCATGCCAGAAAGAGTAATTTCACAGGGAGTTTAGTTCCCTTACTATCTTTCATCCAAGTATGTTTTCAACAATAATTACGTCAGATACTTTTTGGATAGCTGCAAATGATGGACTGTAGCTTTAATGCCAAGTAACATGCAAAAGATGCTTAAATGTTTGGGTTGCCCGGCAGTTGCCTACAATGACGTCACAGGGCACATGGTCTGTAGGGGATGTCTGTCACTCACACCTGATAATGCATCAATTATCTTTCTTTGCAGAACACTTGAAGATTTTGTCTTTGGGGAGAAATTATATCAAGAATCTGAACGGACTGGTGAGTTGATATAGCAAAGCCTGCTATCACAGGGTTCCCAGCCACTTTGGAAATCAGGGAAAACCTTGAAAATAAGTTTCCATTTTTCCAGTCAGGGGAAACTCAAGAAATGTGGGGAAAACACTAAAAATCAGGGAAAACTCAGGGAATTTGACCGTGACCCACAAGGGAAAGGTTTTTGCCAGTTTGGTGTATGAGCATCTTGTGTCGTGTGTCCAAGTTGTGTTCATTGACTGACTGGCTATGGTGGTTTTATAGTCTTCATAAATGCAGTGTGAATATTACAAACCTCACCAGACAAAAACAGTTGGCTGTGCTACACCACCCTTGGCATTTTGGAAATTTGTCGGGGACATATCAGGGAAAACTTGGGTAATTTGTTTTCATAAAGTGCTGAGTACGTTGACTGAGTCAACCGTAGAATATACATGTATTAATTGTTAGTATTCCGATTGATATCCTTTTGGTAGGAAGCAGTGGCTGAGACACTTGAGGAGCTCTGGATCTCCTACAACCAAATCGAGAAGCTCAAAGCGCTACAAGCACTCAAGAAACTAAAGGTACATCCCAAATCTACATTTTATTTCCCATTGTTTCTCAGGATTTGTGTCATTGTTTCCCATTAAGTTGTCTGTGTTAAGTTGTCACCGCGTTGTCTATCTCAAAGGTTCAAAGAAAGGTGGAAGGATATCAAGTGCGAGTGCACAATAAGCTCTAGCCATGTTGCAAGAAGTCTTGCATGAAATCAATCAATTTTTCAGCCAGAGCTGGAAAATGCGACGCCGAAAAATGCGACGCCGATATGGAACACCATAGTTTTTGTCAATTTTTGAGACAGACAGATCGACCGACCACCAAGTGACATGTAGAAGCTCCTGCCAGAGCTTAAAAAAATATTCATCCTAACAAAATGCACGTTCAGTTTAATGGTGCTCTGCTGTCTTAATTGTTGGATTGGAAGGTTGTTCAATTTCAACAAATTCTTGGCCCCCAAGAAAGGCAAACAAAATTTACCAAAGGGTTTTTGGATTGACTTTTTGTATCAACTCAAGACAGACTTTGCTTAAAGGGAAGATACAACATTTGCAAACATCAAAAAACGAAATGATCACATTATCATGAAATATCTTACTGGATTGCTTGGGAATGACAGTCCACAGCATCCTGTAAAATCGAGGCTCCTGGTGTGCTGACATTTTCAAGAAAACTTGTATTTTTCCAATGCGGGTCGGCCAACCAGCGTTGGAGAAAACTGACTTGTTTTCATAAAGGGCTCCTAATTTTTTATATTTAGTTATTCCCCATTTTCTTTGCAGTTGATTACACACTTGTGAAGGGGTACAAGCCTGCTAGACTGATTCTCTGACCTTACAATTCCCCAAAGTCTATAAATTGCTCCGTTGCATCTTGCTTGGGGTCAGGGAACCAGACTACAAAAACATGGTTGGTTTTCTTGGATTTTCCAGCATCTCCGAGCCCAAAACGTGAAGCAACTCAGTTCAACAACATTTGCTATTTCATCCTAACCCTCCAAATCCATTTATTTCTGAAAAAATGCAGCAAAAGCAAATGTTGTACATTCCCTTTAATACTTTCACCCCCACTGTTCTCATCCATGGCAGGTCCTGTACATGTCCAACAACAGTGTGAAGGACTGGGGCGAGTTTGACAAACTGCAAAGCCTGGGCAATCTGGTGGAGTTACTGATGGTGAACAACCCTCTAGAGGAGAAACACTCAGCGGAAGGGGACTGGAGAGACCGAGCCACCAAGATACTGCCCAACCTGAAAAAGCTTGACGGTAAGAACTGGGGGATCGTAGGGAGGATATATATACCTTTGTCACACACCTCATATATATTTATATTAAGTATAATGCACTTCCTTCATTTGTCGGTGTTCACATACTTAATCACCTGAACTGGTCATTAGTAGGGAAGTAGTACCCCAAGACTAGTTCCTTGACTCTCACCATGCAAAAGTTGTGATACACAAGTGAGGTTCCAATTTTTTTTTTTAGCCAGAGGCCTTTGTTGCGCGGCAATGTCACAGATGCACATGTCCACAAATCGTCACCGTTTTGACGAAGTGACACATCCGTCCAAAACCGAGATTTTCTGAAATCTGAGATTTTTGGATATTCTAACATTTTACGATGTCCTCTACATGATTACCAAATTTCGAGACACAACATTCCATCGTTCGTTAATTACTCTAATTGCACAATGTGTTGAAAGTGCTACACACTAAGTTTTTCGTTTTGACGAAGTGACGGATCTCTATGTGTCACTTAGTCTCATTAATTTTACACGTGTGCTATATTTAGAAATATGAAGCCTCCACGATTTGCGTTTTGACGAAGTGACGCATCTGCGTTCTAAAATGTATCAATGTAATATACGCGCACGCGCTTTGTACAAACATATGCCTCATTTTTGTGGAGAAATAGATTTTCCGTTTTGACGAAGTGACGGATATCTTTAGTAATTAATATCTTCTAATTAAACACGATTTTATGAACAGAGAGAATTGTTTTTGGCTATTTAACTCCTTGGCTACTGTCTCAGTTATATATTTTTCAATTCTGGGGGAAAGATATGTACACAAAAATGCTAATTGAAAAATCCACCAACTTCAAACGCAATTTTTTTAAAACTCGGTTTTGCATCTGTGTGCACAAATGTGTCACTTCGTCAAAACGGTGACGAAATATGCGATATGTCATACAATTTTTTCGTCCATCTTGTTCAGGCACAGTTGTGAGGTGAAATACCTATGCAGCATTTTATGTTTCATATGTGTAAACATGCTTCATCGATATGAACGTTTTTATAGAAATCTGCGATGTCTGTCGAACGACAGTCATGTACATTTGTATTAATTGGCCTTCATGCTCTTTTCATTGTGACAGGTGAACCAGTGATCAAACCGGATGATGAGGAGGAACAGGAAGACTAGTCAGCCACCTGGCGACTCTGGATATATCCCATCTGTCTTATCACATGTCCCAGCTGTCTCTAGCTGAGCCAGCAATCTCTCGTCTGTCTTCATTCATCATGTGATCACCACTCGCACTCACAAGGACGTCGGTGTCTGTCATGTGTAGGTGCTGGCCTTTATGTTGCAGGTGAAGCAGTGCACGTGTGCTATCAAACTCCCCTCTGCTTGTGTTGTGATATCTTTGCCAATTTTGGTACTTTCACTCAGCATTCACTGGCAACATCGATATGGATTGTTTCTTCACACTCATTGTGGTTTGGTTCACACATTTATGGAAAAGGTCAGGCAGGATATTTTGTCATAGGAACTGAAACAGTCTGTTTAATCATTTTTAATAAAGCCTGTTGATAATTTATTTCTCTGTTTAGTTCCTCCAGTTTCTCTGTCCTGAAACTTTTTGACCTCAAGACTTGTTGCATGTAAGTGTATATATGTACTGACATCAAGTAGGGTGCAGAAATCCCTTGGAACTGTCAAAATGTAAGCCTTTGTACATATCAGTACGTAGCACAGTCAGTAAATTTGTGTACAGCAGAGGTATTTTAATTGTTCTTTCTACTTGTTTATAAAAAAAATAAAGCCGGCTTTTCTATCACACTTAGCCATTGCAATATTGGAAGAGATTTGGAGTTTCGTACTACTCAAGAAGCTCATCAGTTAAAATGTCCACAAATTGTTGTCAGTGTATATTATTGAAGAAATACTGTGTGACCGAGTTACTTTCTTAGTTTCTCCAAATTACCACAAACGATTATGTGTTGCTAAATGCATTCCTTGGTTTGAAAAGACATTTTACTCTAGATAATTTGTTGGGGGGGGGGGGTTGCCACCCAACAGAATCCAACTCTAGTTACTGCTACTAATATGCATTGTTACAGCAGTTTGTTACATCATGACTGTAAATCAGTACTTACATACAAGAGCTCAGACGACTCTACTTGTCACTTCTTTTAATTTTGTTTAAACTGTATGTAAGCTTGGCAGTTCTTTACTGTATGTCGTTTCACATGTCTGTGGCATAGTTTGGATGCTATACAGGGTGGATAAAAAAAAAACCAAAACCGAGATATTATTGCTAATTGGAACAGAAGTAGGGCACATGTGAATCAAAGGGAGATATCCTCTGTTAGGGTTGAATCTCCTCTTTAAAATGACACCCTGATCATGTCCTTACATTCACGGTTGACTGAGCAGTGACCAATTTTATGAAAGGGTCCATTTACACATGCTTGCCCACTTTTCAATTGTGGTTTTCGCGTTGTCATTTGTCACAGAGTGAATGGCTATGGTTGCCAATCAAGGCAGGTGGGGGGAAAAGAGATTTCACCATGAAAAGTGGCGCAAGTCTCTCAATAGACCCTTTCATAAAATTGGTCACTGCTCAGTCAACCATAAATGTAAGGACATGATCAGGGTGTCATTTTAAAGAGGAGATTCAACCCTAACAGAGGATATCTCCCTTTAATTCACATGTGCACTACTTTTATTACAATTAGCAATAATAATTACCCACCCTGTATAATGAGTCTCTTTTTTTCACTTGTAAACTCCACGTACTAAAGTCTGAACTTTCTGTGAAGTTTCAAGGGCTGTAGGCACTTGTCGAAATTGTGAAGCAAGACATGTAAATTAAAAAAAAAATCAATCCGTCCTTTTTCTGCTCAATATTTGTATTTGTAAATATGTAACTTAAGATTGGACTTGTACTCAAATAACATTTTTCCTGTTAGTTTTAGCATTGTTCATTTGAATTAAGTTTACCTTAATTATTGTGATTTATTGGAAGGCCTGCATATACAATGGACGTGTATTTGTATTACAATAAAATACAGTTGTGTTTTCATCAAACGGAAGTGTTCAAATTGTTTCTGTTGGGCCAAAAAAAAAATATTCGGTCTCTGGTCAGACCAAAGTTCCGGAATTGATGCGGCGATGCGGCTTTTTTTTTTTTTTGGCTTTTTTTTTTTTTTCAAGCTTGGATTGTACAGACAAGGTGGGGTACTATTTTGCTTTTTTGGTGTCCTCATGTACATTAGTGTCCGCCTTGGTGCAATTTCCCATTTCTTGGTGCTCGTTGGTAAAAGAAATTGAGGAGGTGCAGCAATAGAGGGCGCTGTTGAAGCTAAGGCGGAACATTTTGGAAAAAAAAAAGATTGATGCGCCAGATTAAAATCGACGCGCGCGCTGACCAGAGACCGAATATTTTTTGGGGGGGCCTTCGCAAAACAACAGACATCAGACTTCAAGAAAAATCACACCCCAACCAGATTTGAAGAGTAAAAAATATGATATTTTTATTTACTGATTAATTTCTTTTGTTTAATATATACAAGGTATAGATATTTAATATATAGATATTTCACAGCCTGCTGCTATTTACCCACAGAAGGCCTCCAAAAAAGTATAACAGCTGAAATATTATAAAACCTACATCAGCAAATGTCATGTCCTGAAGATTAATTGCGTCATGCAAAGAATCACAATCTAGCTCAAGTTATTCAATTAATCGTAAACCAAAACAAATGCCAATTAAAAACTGTTAAAATTTGTCGGCATATTTAAAAAAAAAAACATGCAATTGTCTTCAATTGTTAACTTATTCAGTGGCTGACAAAGTAACGTAACAAAAACAAGGTAATATTATACTCGAGACAAATTTGAAATGAATCCAATCGCAAGCTCGCTTTGATTTATAGTCAGGTGGCTTAGATCTAATTTTCGTCAAGATCGTGACCGACTGGTCCAAAGCACCAAACTTGGCAGATAGATTCTTATAGACCTAGAGAAGATATTTAGAAGGGGTGACACCTGAAATTCTTTTGGGAAGGGTGCCTAATTTGCATAAATCGTTAATCCCTGTCGTGTAATAAATTTATTCCCATATTTGGGTATATTTCTATTTTTTTATGTTTTTGAAAAGTGTATTTTGGGGATTCTACTTACATATCTTTACTTAAATAACAGTTTCCAAAGCATATAAGTGACTGAATAATTATGAGGACATAGTAACGATCCAAAATGGCTACTATTATGCCCTAAAATTGCGCGCATTTACCTTGTCTGCAGATATCATAAATTAGTCTTGCCAAACATCAGCATTGATGAACTTCAAATTCACCAAGTAGCTTACTGGTACAGTTACCATATTAAAACCTTATGCAAAATCATGTGAACAATGATAACATTGTGATATTTAGCCCAGAAAACAAAAACTGGGAAAAAACGAGGTGTCCATAAATTGGGCTAACAAGTAGGTGAAGGGTTGCCTAACAAGGAACACTGTAACAAGTTCAAGGACATTCCCAAAATTATTGTTGAGAAAACATTTTGGCGTAGACAAAATTATTGTAAACAACAATAATCTCTTATTTAGGGGGATTTCGTTGAACTTGTTCAAGTCCCCACGTTACCCTTCCCGTACTAGCCCAATTTACGGACACCACATTTCTCCCCTTTTTTCGTCTTTTGGGCTAAACATCAAGATGTTATCAATTTTCACATGATTTCCCACTTATTTTTGTTAGGGTAACTATGCCAGTAAGTAACTTTGTGAATTTGAAGCTCATCAATACCCACTTTTGGCGAGACTAATTGATGATATCTAAGGAAAAGGTAAATGCGCGTAACTTTAGGGTAAAATAGTAGCAATTTTGGTTCTTTACTATGTCCTCCTAATTATTCAGTCACATATATGTTTTACAAAATGTTATTGAAGTAAGAATATGCAAGTAGAATCACCAAAATACACTTTAAAAAAAAAATAAAAATAAAAATATACCCAAATATGGGAATAAATATATTACACGGCAGGGATTAACGATTTATGCAAATTAGGCACCCTTCCCAAAAGAATTCCAGGTGTCACCCCTTCTAAATATCTTCTCTAGGGCTATAAGAATCTATCTGCCAAGTTTGGTGCTTTGGACCAGTCGGTCACGATTCCGACCATATGCCACCTGACTATTAAAGGCCTGCTCATACTCGACACGAGTTTAGTGTGAAGTGAATTCATTAAACAGGGAAACAGCTTGAATGTTGTACTCCCGTTATCGGTACCTGTCTTATTCAACAACCACCAATGAGAATTGACTAACACACAAGGAGGTATTCCACAATTCCAAGGCAACTTATATGGAAAAGAATGTAGTATCCAGACGCCGCACCTTTGGTTGTGTACAAAGACTATGGAGAGAAGAGTGCAGTTTTAACAAAATTGGAAATGTTTCTCAGTCCCAGTTTCATATATTTTCAACATTTTTGCAATAACTGACCTTCAATGAGATAATATATGATGCAAAAAGTAGCAGAGGATGCAACACAGAGCTGCCAACATTTGCATCTTGCAATCCGGGAGATTTTTGTACAACAATCACCGAGATATCTAGAAAATTCATTCAAGGTAATAGGGAAAAAGTTTCCATAATCAGGGAGATTTTCAAATTTGTTCATCAGAACATGGAAAGATTGGTTTATTTTCAGGGAACTTTCTGCAGAATCAGAGAGTTGCCAACATTCTTTACAACTACATGTAGTTATGTTTCATGGAAAGATAGTGAACTCTCCAACATTTTCAGAATGACCGAGTCCCTACTTACAAATGCTTGGCATCAGTTACAGTAACAAAAAGTTCTGGTCATCCTCAACAAAGAGGGTCCTTTGCACATTTCTCCTTTTTTTTCAGTGAGTGATTTGGGGGACAAAAATTAACTTTGAACTCCTCCTCCCCATAAGATTGAGGCTCTTCCTTTAAAACTTGCTGCAATTTCTGAAACAGCTACTTGCCCATTTAAGTACAAACTTGCAAAATTATTTGAAATAAACCATCAAAACACAGTGTAAATAAAATAGTATTGAAAACATATTTTGAAAAAATATTTTTGAAATCATAAGGAAATATATTGGTCAGTTTTTACACAAACCAGAGTTCATACTGTCCCATTAAAACAAATTGCCCAATTAAACTGAATCAGTTGCCTTGAAACTTAATTTATAAAAAAAATAAAATAAAAACAAGCAGATAGAAAAAAATGATGATGACGCGACTATTTCATTAATACAGGAAGGAGATCAAAGGTATCGCTGCAATTACAAAAATTACAAGACCGTGCTGGCAACACAGGTGACTTTTTGATTGAGTCATACTAGCAACAATTAAAACCTTCACACTGAGTAAAAATGACAGCCTGACATGGTTATTGTTCCGTCTACGTTAACATTTCTTACTGATGCCAAAGAGTTACAAATATTTGGTTTGGTCCACAATTTCCTTAATACATGCACAGGAGTACACCACTATAACAAGTATCACAGAACCGACATTTAGCTCTTAAAAAGTTTCCCCCTTAATTTGCCCAATTAAATTAATCAGTCAAAACAAGGAAATTTAAAGACAACTGCTCTTAGGCCATCTCAAAATAAAATGATATTTTTTCATAACATTTTCTGACAGGATTTCCCTAAACGATCCTGAAAATGTATGTTGTGCTTTCCGAGGGTTCCTTCGGTAAGAAATGCATTAAAGGTAGAGTACATCATTTGTGCATTATGTTCGTTTGAAGCAATAAAAGTGCTCAAAATCTAAAGACAGGTGCTTTACAACTGACCTGATGAACTTTTAGCTTAGTGAATGCTGTATATTCTGAGAAAACAATATTGTAGGATCTTAGATTTCAATTCAAAAGTTGCTGAGTCGTGTTTTGAATTGCGCCAGAAGTCAGCGTTTGGGACACGTTCCCACTCAGCCGATGTCACGCACTGAACCCATGAATTATAGCAACAACGCGCACGTATGCATCATGTCGACCATTGCGCGCACCCATTCACGGCATTGCCAAATTAAAAACGAACTTCCAATGGAAATTTCCAAAAATGCATCTTTAGACGCATCTTTTGAAATCACCTACTTTTATTGTTTACTTCAAAATGACAGCATGCCAGAAGGAATGATTTTACAGGGAGTTAAATGCCATTACTATCTTTAAACCAAGTAAGCTTTTCAACAGTAATTTGGTAAGTCACTTTTTGGATAGCTGCAAATGATGGGCTATACCTTTAAGGGGCCATCCTGTGATGTATGTTATTGTGGTGCTATGCTGTAGCTGTATCCTCGTAAGGCAGCAACGAGTAAAGCAATTTACAACAGAGGTAGGCGTAACCACTACGTTTAATGAACAGGTTTTTTTTCCCATCTGATAACAGAATGGCTATGGACACGACAGACAGTATTTTTTTCATTTGTTAAGTGTAAAAGAGGGCTTTCACATCAATCCAACTGTTTCATATCAACAGCAGACATACAATCAATTTTTCAAATCCAGGGGTTAATATTTCAAAAACCGAAGTCATACTACCAACAAGACTGGCGAACAAGGGGTTCCCAGTTTCCTAATGCCTACAGTCCCAACTTGATATTCTTAAAACTTGCCATACTTTGGTCTGCTTCACACACCGAATGTGTCATCCTGCCTCATTTTACTTAAAGGGAATGTACATCATTGGCTTTTGCTGTAGTTTTCAGATATAAACTATTTGAGGAGTTAGTATAATAGATCAAATCTTGTTACACTGACATGTTTGAAGTTTTGTGTTCGAAAATGCTGGAAAAACCAAGAAAAACAAAAATGTTCAAGTAGTCTGGTTCCTCGACTCCACTAAAATGAAATGGATCAATTTTTAAATGCTAGAAAATGGTACGGTAAGGGAACCAGGCTAGCTGGCTTGCACCCGTTCATGAACATGTAACCAAATGCAAACAGAATTTGGATGGTACTTGAATGGTACATTTTGAGCAGTAGTTGAAAAATGGTTTGGTTTTTCCAACGGTGGTCGGCCGACCACCATTCGGAATTTATACAAAAAATACCACTTTTCTTGAAAATGGCTTTACACCAGGGGCCACACTTTTACAGGATGCTTCAGACTGTCATTTACAAACATCCTTGTAAGGTATTTCGTAAAAAAAAATGGTAGTTTTGTTTTTCGATGTTTGTAAATATGTTAGCGATGTTGTATATTCCCTTTAAATTGAAAAGCGAAAACCATTTCATTGCAGATACATGTACCTCCAATGATTGTTCCTTTCATTCAACACTCATCTTCACCAATGTGTTGTTTGTTAATCCACCTTCAAATTAAGCTGCAAATTAAGCAAATGCCCTGATCCGTTCTCTTTGTTTGAATTAATCAATCTTGCAGCTCAGTGAGGTCACTCGTAACACGTTAAAAATCATCAGGACTCAACCCAAACAAAAATGTTAAGGATAACAAAATTAAAGTCACGTGTTGTTCACAGCAACTTTGCACCATTTGAGTCCAAGAACAAGTACCAAAGTTTACAACTGTCTCATAAAAAGAGTACATGTACACTATTTTACATTTTATAATTTGAATACGCTCTGTTCTAGTTTCTTTACCTTTTTACACTAATAAAAATGACAGTCAGATATAGATTTCTATGAAATAGAGATAAAATGCACATTTTATGCACATTTACAGTTGACAATGGATATTCATTTTTTTTTTTTAGAATTTGACTTAAAGATTTGCTTTCCACAACTGCACAAAATGTGTTGGTTTTTTTTTTCATCATACAAAATAATGACACTTTTATCATTTTATCTTACAGTTCATAAACCTTCAATGTCCAGTTCATATTTCCAATATCACATGATAAAATAGTCATCTGTCTCACACACTTAATTAATAAAAAGGTAGTATATGTGAAGTTACTTTTTTGTTTATTTACAAGACGAGAATATTTCACAATGAGGCTTTTCAGAGTCTGTTAAATGATACCCTCCTCCAGAGAGTCAGCCATCTTTGAATTGAGACTTCAACTTCATCAGACGAGACGAACATGACAATTACCCTTTAATTAAAAAATATGGCACAACAGTATCGCATTAAAAGAAATTTAGAGATTTTTATACAGTTTTTTTTTTACAAATCATTTTTAATACTGCAATTATTTTCACAGGAAGCCAAAAAATAAATGCCTGGTATACTTACACTCGCAAAAAAGAGGAAGATGAGTTTCGTGACTAAAATAAAATGAAATTATAGACTGTAAAAAAGACGTCCAATTGATAGGTTTTTATTGATACAAGGGTTTGATGGGATGGGAAATTGTAGCATTTCCAAAGTTCAGGAGAACACTTTCTGTGCGAACGGACAGAAGATTTCAGCCCAATGAAACAGCAAGTGGTTCATTAGAGAACTTCCATCTTATGAACAGAACTCCAGGTGTTGACTCTGGCCAGTACCAAGCAGTTAATTAGGGGGGGGAGGGGGATCAAATGTCAAATTTTCAAGTAAAATATTTAAAATTTAAAAATAAATATATATATAAAAAAGTTTGGGAAAAAAGGGGAAGTTGATGAATCTGGTCTGTTAATTTTTCCCTCTTAATTAATTAAGAAAGTTTTATATAAAAATTGATGAATAACTTTCCCCTGCCAATACTAGGCTAATACCCCTTATAACCAGCATGAGGCCATTCATATCTTTTTTTTAGCACCATTGCTTGAAATTCAGGAGCACTGCTATGTGCAATGTAAGGTTCTGTCCTAATTGCTAGGCTACGGCTGGGAGATACACACGGGTCTATGGGAAGTGGCTGCAGCGGCTTCCATAGGCGTGTGTATAACAGCCAGCCGCAGTCAAGATATTGGGCTGTGCCCAAATTACTTGGCTACGGCTGGGAGATACACACGGGTCTATGGACAGTGGCTGCAGCGGCTTCTATAGGCGTGTGTGTAACAGCCAGCCGCAGTCAAGATATTGGGCTGTGCCCAAATTGCTTGGCTACGGCTGGGAGATACACACGGGTCTATGGACAGTGGCTGCAGCGGCTTCAGTAAGCACGTGTGTAATCGCCAGCCACAGCCAAGCTATTGGGACGCGGCCATTACTAGGGTCATTATCAGAGCTGCTTAGCAAAGCAATCAAAAACTGACCGAGAACCAGTCACGACCAATACACAACTAATGATACTTGGGCTGGTAACCCGCATCATTTTGCTTAGCAAAATTTCCCTGCCCTCAGCGATACCAACCAAAGCAAGAAAACGGCTCTGGACGAGAGCCACATGAACAACAAAATAATGTGTGTTTTTTACAACCATCCAGTAAAAATTAGTTTCTACAACTGTACAAGTTGATTTTCAGAGGCTTATCGGTCAAACAGAAATTTACAACACTGTACAAGCTCTACTTTCATTATAATAATAATAATCAGAAAAATAGGCTAACAAAACCACACAGAAAAAAATGGCGGTATGCAACAAAACTCAGCAGAGAGGAAGATACCGGTATTGCACAAAAAGGAATAATTTGCTAAAAAGTCAATGGAGCATTAAGCATTCAAATCAGGAAAATGCAAAACCTTGGATGGTGCCTTAAAAAACATAGTCCCTTCAAAATCTACCCAAAGCAGGGGACATGATGTTCCTCATAAATAATGTGCATGTATTACATCATCGTATGCACATTAAATGGTACATTTTAAAATCAAAATTTAGGTGCTTTTAAGTCTTGCATGGTTTATGCAAATATAAAACCACATCTTAGATGATATTCAAACAAAAATAACATTAACAAATGTCAAGAATTTCATGAATTTGTGGTCAGCTTCAAGTTCATGATTTTATAAACAAAACAAAAATAAGTAATCCACGGGGAATACCAGTTCACTTTGGGAATCTCGCAGGCTACTCGTGATTTTGAGAATTTTAAAAACCAATGGGATATTAACATAAAAGTGATGCTAAACAAAAAAAACCAGAGATGATTTTTTTAAATTCATTCCGGTGATATTGTCTCAATGCTGCACAAGCTTTTCCAAATATCACGGGAGTGTCTTGGAGTTCAATGAAGTATTTCTTAAGTTACACACAAGACACAGCAAACATGTTTCTTGCTCAGTCTGAAGTTCCCTCTTTGCGAGACCACACATCCAACCATCTGGCCACGGTTTCATAAACATTTGTCTGGAGGTTTCAGGAGGGGTTTCTGATTCAGGAGTGCATTCTGGTGTATCACTCCCACGTGCAACGCTGCCAGTGCTTTTGCTGACTATGGACGGTTGAGCGTTCAGCAGGTTGATTCCACGTCCCTTTACCCAGAGTTGACACTGGTTTCGTTCCGAAAAACCCTCTCTGAAAGTAGGGACCGCCACATCGCATGGTGTATCAGCAAACGTCTTCCGATGTTGTACTCTCCACTCAGCACAGCCTCCGTTCTCCGTTATCCCAACACTTATTGCACATTGGTAGGATGTCCCAGCCAGCTAGGATGCGTCCCGTAACTCTACCATGCACAATCAGGAACCTCCTCCGGCGAATCTCTTCACCTCACATCCTCATCGGTTGCTCCCCTGCCTCCTCTGAGTTCCCAGACTCTGATTCGCTCTCGCTGCCGCTGCCACTGCCGCTGCTGCTCTCGCTCCTGCTGCCGGACTGACCCGTAGAGCTGCTCCCGTCGTCACTTCGCTCCCTGCCATCATGCGGGTAACCGCGCAGCTCCTCGTTCATCTCGTCATCGTCGTCCTCGCTGTCGTCCACTTCCGAGTCGTCGGCGTAGTGGTTCAGAGACTCCGTGCCAAACTCCGGGGGCGACTCTTCCTGAATGGATGGGATGATCGGTTTCTTGACGGCATCTGGCTTGCGATGGCTCTTCATGTGGGCACTCCGGCTTTTCACTTTGAAAAATACCCTGCAAATTTAGCAAAATAGGAATGGGTGAACACTAACATCGGTTCATTATTTTCTGCCTATTGAAACCTTGATATATTCTTGCTAGTCGACAGACTTTGTTGCTGGGAAGTAAATATATACTAGACCCTTTCATCCATTAATTCTTACTCTTTGGGTGACATTTTTGGACAGTCCAGGGACATGCCACACTACATTGGCGATACAATTGCCGACATAATGGAATACCCTTCATATGGAATGAATCAGAGGATGCAAAAGCTAATCAGCTACTTTGCTGGACATTTCTTCAGATAATGATCGGCAGTGCTCATTTGGTTATCAGAGCTTTGCTGGCCAGTGCCCTTGCTCACTAGTGCCCTCTTTGTTACTAGTGTCCTTGGATAGCGGGGTAGGTGCCAACAGATAATTTTTTTAATTTGTTGGTATATATGTTCAAATCACTTCTGACATTGGGTACCTACACATTGTTTTTCCGTTACTCTAACCCTTCAGATGCTCTGGCTTCAAGTCTGTTAATTTCCTCAACACACAACAGGTCAACCATTGCAAGGCCAAAACAGCTTCAAGAGTCTGTCTGCCAGCCACCATAGGATTTAACAGTGACACTGTTCAATGGGACGAGCACCCATTAACTCAGGATTGGCAGTTTAAGCCTTCCTCTATCAGTGACAAAATTGAGAGAGATACCCTATCTGTCAAAATCTATCAATTGACAGTTTTTAACAGTTTTGTAAACTGGGCTTATAATGGTACAATTGACAGGCTGTGGCAATTTTGTCAACTGACAGCACCATGCCTTAACCGACAGTAATAGATATAGTGGGTTTAAGTAATGCCGAGTGCCTGGCAGTGATTGATTTAATTAAGTAACAATGAAGGCACAAAAGGTTCACTCATGCACATCCCAGCAAAACAGAGGCATTGCCCTGGCAATGGCTGCTACGCATGCTATGCATAAGGTCTTTGGAATTGCAGTAAAAGGTGTTGCAGTATTCAAGGACACCCTATCTATCAAACCCCTTCAACAGGTTTTGACAGTTATGTGGTTTAATCCATAGGGGTTCTGGCAGTTTGTGACCAACCTGTACAAAAGCTATGGAAGAGGAAGTAGGTTGGTTTTCTTAACAGTTAGTGACATTTCTGTCAGTAGGAGGGTCAAGTTGCTGATGTTGATGGCAACAAGGTCCCCCAGACTTCCAAACCTGTTGCATCTTATAAACTGTTGCATCTTTCTGCGTCTTACAGGGTAAGGGTTTTTATAAACAAGTCCTGTCCGACTCACTTGCCACAGATCTTGCACGGGTAGGTGACGGGCTCGGGTTCCATGCTCTCCCCAGAGGAGGAATCCGTCGACATCCTACGGGACATTCCCGAGGTGGAGGTAGATTCCGAGACCGGGGAGACGCTGCGCTGGACCGGCCGCGTCTCCTTGGCAGCCGGCTGGGATTTGTAGCTGCCGCCGTGCACACGAATGTGGCCATTCAGGGCTTGCCTGGACTTGAAGGTCTGGTGGGTGAGGAAGAATAACAACAAATCATAGCAAATGTTATGAGCAATGGAAGGGGGCAATAGAATGCCGGATGGTACCATGGAAATAGAATATGTGAAGACACAAGATGCCAAACTAGGAACTCCATCATGTGGTCAATTAATTTTAATAGACATTTACATGTAATGTGCCACACCTAAGGATTTCCTTGTAATTTAAAGAAGAGCAGGAATCCAGAAAAAGTCTGATCTAAGAGTACTTGGGACTTTTTCCACTCATACAGAACAAAAATGTGTTACAATACGGAGCTAAGGGAAACCTTGCCTGTCTTGATCCTTCAAAATCTATGGAGAGGTTTTTGGAAATCTTTGGATAAAGGATAGGACGGAACAGCCACTTTTGCTTTACAGGGGCTCAATGCTCTCTTTCGAGTTTAAGAAAGTATGTAGAATGAGTCAATTGGTTTCCCACACACTGTAAGATTTGAGAGAATTCAAGAAAGTTACCGGGGAAAAGGGAGACTGTGTAAGAACTGCAGCGTGTTTAAAAAGTAAGACAAAAATTTCAAAATTCAAACAGGTTTCTCATAAAACCATCCACTTTTCACGAATTTTCAAATCCCACAGGGCCGTGAATGCATTTTTTTTTTTTTTAACTGCAGTATTTTTAAAAGATACTGGACACGTGCTTCCCAGATATGAGGCACTTGTGAGCATCATGATAGCTTTAGCATACACAACTTTGAGTATCACACACACTCAAAGACACCACAGTTGTTGCTGCAGCACCACCACACTGTTAGGGCAAATTCTGTGGTGTCCCACTGGTGTCCCACTAAGACACGGGCTCAGGTTCATATTGTTAAACACTAATGAAAAGATTCTTAGATTTAACACTCATCCATTTTCTCATGCACTAATGCAACCACCGCAATCTTCATTAACAGCTTGCAAGCAGGAGGTGGCCTACCATCCATTGACGAAGGGTTTTGCTGGCGACTGCAAGCAGGGGTCTTTAATAGTGGTTGGATTCAAATCCAGATTTTTTTAAAATTCAGTTTGTATTCCACTATTTCGGTTTGGATTTTGGAAACCAGATAGTCGAAACCAACCATATCAAAAAATAAGCCTTCCATTTTTTTGTGACACAAGCTGAAGAAAATATCTGGAGCATCCCCCAAATTGCTCCATGGTCTCTGATTATGACCGCATTCACTCGCTGGGGAGTCAGGTTGGCGTAGCGGTACTTTCCTCGCCTTCCACCGCTGTGACCCGGGTTCAAATCCCGCCTGGGCCAATATGTGGATTGGGTTTTTAGTCCCTGCCTGATTCCGTGGGTTTTCCTCAGAATATTCTTCTGGGCTTTTCCTCCCACCTCTAAAACTGTAATTTCTTCTCATTGTCTTCTCTCCACAGGTTTCTTCAGGCTTGCGAGCTACAGTGCATAGGGCGCTTTTGAGGAATCCTTGGTTTCATTACCAAAAATGATTAATAATAATGATAATAATAATAATAATAATGGTCTTCTTGGTTCATGAACGGCCTGCTGCCTGACTGTGAGCTGAATAGCAACTTCAGGTGAAGTCAGATAACTGTTACTCGGTTTGACATTTTTTTAAATCTCTGATTTCTCCCACCATTAGTCTGAAACACCCCCTCAAGCGAAAGCTGAAATTTAAACCATGCCCACTCTGACAATTTTTGCAGGAAACTTGAGGTATGGATGGCGCCGACTGTCGTTTTTTAATAAGTTTCAATTTGGATCAGGGCAAGTTACTGCAAAACCAAGAATTTGTTAATGCACTTGTTCTTGCTCATTATACTAATGAGTGATGAATTGATTTCAGATGGCAAGACTAACTCAAAGGAAATATCAATGGCACACTGATATCACCAACAGCCAAACAATGGATGAAGAAGCTGTGGAAGATGGCTAAGTAGCTACCGGTAGAGCTGGGCGGGTAACCCCAGTACTCGAGAGAAGTGTTTGCTACTCACTGTTCTACTCGTTGTTTTTCATCTACTGGAGTACTCGTCCGGGCGCGAGTGGAAGAAGTTACTCGCGATTAGCAATTTTGTTTTACAAGTGCTGACTTAGAAAAAAGTAACCACTTTGCGGTTTCTGCGCCAAAACTTGTCTTTTGACTTACATAAAATAGTTCCCCACAATACCTCCATCTTTTTCCTTTGGATTTCACTAGCTCTCTCAAAAAATAACTTTCAAGTAAAATGAGCCAAAGTTTTGCATAGTCAGGATAGCTCAGTGCTGAAGAATGTGGCGTTTCTTGCATGCTGTTTATTCATAGTAACTTCCTCCTTAGTAATGTTTATGCCATATTTTCTGCATTGATGGGAATTTTAGGGAACTACTCGCAAGTGCTCGACTACTCGCGAATGATTTCTCTGCGAGTACTCGAGTAGGAAAATCCACTACTCGCCCAGGCCTAGCTACCGGTATTAACTTGTACTACTCAGGATTAATGGGCTGTGCGTACATACATGTATGACGTGTGCATAATCAGTTTACAACTGTGAATAGCTAAGAACCTTAGATGGAGCTCCATACATGTAGGTGAATGCACTTTATGCCTGAGCAGGGGTGCCCAGCAGCAATGGTTATGAGCATTCATTGTGGGGGAGGGGGGGGTGGGGGAGGGGGGGGGGGTGGGGGAGGGGGGGGGGAGGGGGAGGTGTGTTCTCTGTGCGTGGAGTTCACACTAAAAAATGGTTAGCATATTGCTAATGTCAATGAGGTTTAGATGAGTGCTTGGATTCACAGCAAATCAAAACAAATATTCCTGATGTTCCATTTTGTTTTATTACTCTAGCGCTGGCTTGCATACTAATCCCAAATATTCCAAGTTCAAATATCCAAACATGTTGATATCATTTTAAATCACGTATGTTGACAAAATCAGAATTTTGCACTCTCAATGGACATTTTATTTTGGCAAATGTTATCTTCATACTTGAAAAATGTTTCCAAAAGTCATAACCGTGCATTTGTATGCCTATCACTGCGAAAGTTACTTAACCAGTTCACGCCGGATGACGTGTTTTCGGAATGGATGACGGATAAACACGCAGGGAGCGAGGACGGAAATATCTGTCGGCGATCCGCTCGCAGCGAGCGAGGCCGGAAAATATGAGTGTGCTGCCCGAGGGTGATGGCTTCAACCCGCCTGGCCTGAGGTCGAGTGAAAAATAATCCCGCGCCTCGTTCCGTTCTTGTCAAAATAATCCCGGCGTGAACTGGTTGAGCCAATCCGCATCAACTCTTGTCTCTCCAATGAAGGGATACAATCAGCTCAAACTGAACGTACATGTGCAGCACATGGGTTTAGGAAAGCGGATTGTAAAAGCAAAATGTGATTCTTTATGTAAGCTGTTCAACAGCGGTCTGAGGGCCAAGGGGAAAATGTATTCCAGCCATATCTAGCAGTTAACTTTGATATCTCTCCCCTCAAAAAAAGGAGGGAATGACTAAGATGAAATGGTAGTGATGAGCAATTAACCCTCCTAGTCTTCTGCACTTTACAACACTTCAAGTTCTGCAAAACCACTTTTGCCAATAGAGCTAGCGATCATACTTCAAATACCTTCGAGGTAATCTTATGTGGAGAATGGATAACACCTCAAAATCTCTGCACAATTCTTGCTCAGGGCAAGCAGGCAGATTCGGTCACGCTTCACTGCTCTCCACAGAGCTGCTTTTTTTGTGTGCAGTGAATCTCTGTGAGACACAGTTACTTTAACACTTCATATCCCTTCACCTGAAACTGAGAAAGGCATATGTAGCAAGACATGTGACAGAGGGAAACCCCCCCCCCCTTTCTTTAATTTTGGTCATTGTGTTACCAGAATCTCAGGAATACTTTTGAGATATCGAGGGGTGTGTGCTAGGTAGCCATAGTGTAGGGTGTGAATAGGGTATGGGCTCCGTGCGCCGACAAGAGGGCGCCCTTTTACCTAGCAACGACGTCACATGGGCGGGACATTTCGCTGGTTGACGCGCACCGTTCCCTGTGTGTGACGCACGTTCACCAGGCGATTTGTACTATGCACACGCAGTGGCCGCGCTTCCTGGCAATGAATTGCAGTCAGGCAAGATGGCGTCGGTCGGTCACCCCCAACTGTGCTTGCTTTGCCGGTGAGGGGGTACTTGTGAACAGAGCGGATAGGGACATGGGATGGGGTACCCCTCTGTCACATATCGTGCTGGGTATGGTAAAAAGGGGTTTCACAAATTGCTCTGGAAAAAATATTGATTCCCACTAGGAGGGTTAATATATCAAGCCAAGTTTTTAAAAAGCCCACAGCACAAGAGAAATGACAGGAATGTCTTGCTACTCACCGCTGCACAGTCTGGATAGTTGCAGGTGAACGGCCCCTGATTAGCTGGCTTCTCCTCCTGATTAGAGGAAGTTTTCACATGATTATTGTTCCTAGCCTGCCCGCCCCCTCTATAGTACTTATCATGTCTATACTCCTTGAGAGGAACATAATCTATGAAAGTCTCTCCCGGATAGAGGTCCTGGGTGCGTGGTGGGAAACAACAGGAAGGGGGAGAGATCAAAAAATAAGAAGAAAAGAAGAAAAAAAAAGACAGCAAAACTCGGGATACCAGTATTAGTCAGAGAACACTCACATTAGCACAAACTGATGGAGATCTCATCGCATTTTCACACACAATAAATAAAATACACAAATTCATTTTGGATATTTATGATTAAGTACAATTCGAATTACAAGAAAATGACATCTGAACAGAACTTGTTGTGGCAAGTCCAGCATCTCTGCTTTTGACTATGAAACGGACGAAACAGGGCAATGAATCCTTGTACACTCAGAACTGCCCAGTAATAGCGGCAGAACTACGGTATCCTAGTGTAACAGCGGAAGCAAATGGTTATTATGCGGTGTTCTATGGCTTGCAATAAGCCTCTGTACTGATGACGTCTCACTTTGTTTACATGTGCACTTTCCTATGGAGCCAGTGGGGGCCCACAGTCCACTGAGCACGATAGGAAAGCACACACGTAAACAAAATGTGACGTCATCAGTACAGAGGCTTATTAGACACACGTCTACGCAAAGTGGCAGCAGTGGCTTTCCATAGACCCGTGTGTAATTTCACGCCGTAGCCCTCAGGGCCCCCAGGGAGAACAGTTCATTGACAACTGATGGGGCTACCCTGGTAAAATAACACAAAATAAACAAATAAAGCCAAGTAATTTGGACAGAGCCTTATACGTGTAGCTTGAATGATGCTTTACCATTAATGGGGGCCTTCATGTGTGTACAAAGATTATGTGCCCGGATTATTCTTAGATAAAACAGGTTTTAACCATTTTCTTAGATCATGTAACAAATAAAAAGAAAACGTAATCAAAACATTCTTCTCTGAATGAGAAAAAAAATCTAATGGAACAAATTTTAATGACTTTGATGGCTTTTGGAACCAAGTCCTGAACATTTAATAGAGCACAAAGTGTCAATTTTATTAACCCTAACCTTACCAACTCCATCAAAATCCATCCCTCCATTTTTGGCAGATAAGCCATGTGGATTAAATCCATCAGAATCCACCCGGACCACAGGTGGATTCCAACAGATTTGGTCCTGAAGCATTCTGTGAAGCAGAGTGAGTGATGGATTTTGATGGACATGGTCTTCTACTTAGTAATAAAACCCAAGTAGGGAGTTAGAGTTAATGAACAGTAACTACATGAATACACCAAAATACCCTACCAAAGGCGTTTTATAGGATCATTTTTGTGTGAAAACTACAATCTGTGAATTCAGCTGCCACTGAACTGTTTCCAAAATGAGTGTGAACCAATGCACACTTTGAAGTTTTTGTTGATCAGTGGAGGCAATATTATCACAGCCGGTAGGTGAAAATGAATATTGAAAAAAAAAACGTTTAAAAAAATATGTGGCTCCCAAAAGAAAAAAAACATAGGAATAAAGTACAAGTTATTGACTAGTAACTGTGAAAATGTTCACGTAATTTGCATACTCTTGTCACAAGTTATCTCTATTGTAATAGAAATACCACAAAATTCAGCTGTTCACCACTGATCATTTACCAACATGCATTCATGAATCTTTTAAATACAATGAACCATGGGATTTTCCAACCTCCGTGAAATGAACAAAAACTGGTTTAGGCCATCAGCCTGGGAGTTTGGCCAGTATCAAATCAGGGCATACATGATTATAGAGAGCATGCGCAAGGTGTACCGCCCCTAGAGTGGTAACAAGCATTTTGATGGCCATTTTGAAAAAAAGGGTGATAACACCCAAAAAGCTGACACCTCTGCAATGCTATCACATATTTTCCAACTCTGGAGGTGTATACCTTGCCAAAAATCGCTGTGACGATTATACCCCTCATTTGATATCGGTGGCCACAATTTTGGACCGAGGCTGATGGCCTAGTTTTTTTAGGTAATTGTAACTGCTGTGAATTATAACCAATACAATCACAGCCATATGTGTCGCTACTGCAACCGTCTTACTCACACATTCATTCCTGCGCACGTCTTCTGAAGGATTGACGCCACTGTGATGGCAGAACTTCTGCATGTCCCTGTTGTAGGGGTACAGCTTCTTCCAGAGGTAGTAATATTCCACTATCTCCTTGACGGGTTTAGTTGGAATCTGGAGTGGGGCAGTAAATCAGAGAGAAAAAAACATGCGATAAGTTTTATCATTCTGCAAAAATAAGATTGTGTATTTCCAACTGCACTGGTGGAATTCGTGACCTGCTTCGCCGAAATACAACCTATGAATTGTGCATTGATTTAATATGAAAACAAAACAAAATGAGTTTTGAAAACGTAAATAAAACCACTAGTGCAGACGTGTTACCACTCAACCACCAAGCTTGCCGGGGTCGGCTGGCCAGTTCGAGTCTAATGCAGCAGCGGGTACTGGAACCAAACTTTTTATAAAATGGAGTTTGTGTCAAGGAGATGATAATTTTATCAGATATTCCTGTTTACAACTTGAAGTAAACTGCCTGACCCTTTTACTTACATGTTTCTGGATAGCGTGGAAATCTTTTCCCTTGATCTTGAAGTAATCTCGGAAGATCTTCCTCTCTCCTTGAGACCAGGTAGCAGTGACTACAAGAAAACACAGCATGGAGTTACTATTGGGCGGTTCCGGCGGGTACCCGGTTCTATCCGAGTCCAAAGTGAGAATCGGAACCGCGAGTCCAATCCTTTCAAGAACCACGTCCCCAGCTATGCTTGGTTCCAGCTCTAAAAGAATCAACTCCAGAAATGAATTACCCTTTCTCTGTTCATAAACCCCAGGGCCGACCGAGAACCGATTTTTGCTGGCACTCTTTTTAAAATAATTTCTTTAACTTGTGATTGGCCTTAGCTTTTAAATTTTTTCTTTGTGAAACGCCTTGAGCATCTTTTAAACGGACTCTGGCGCTATATAAATTGTCATTATTATTATACGTTTAAAGGTACCACTAAGGAGACACGTTATCATAATTTCTTCGCATGATGGGAGACAGCCCCCTTTCAGAGGCAAAATTTTGTTGTCGCAATTCGATTATATTTGTTGCTCGTGGTCTAATTAGTAAACATACCAAAATTCGTGGAAAAAGGACAAGGGAATATTGGGTGAGGGCACATTTAAATTTGACAAATTTTATGCACAAGTCTATGGGGATGCCTCCCAAATGTCCAATCCTAAATGTACCATTAGGGAGACACCTTATCGTAATTTTTTCGATAATAGGGAGACACCGGCATTAAGGGAGACATATAACTGTCTCCCTAATGGCACAGCCCCCCTTTAGAGGCAAAATGTTATGTCGCAATTAGGTTATATTTGCTGCTCGTGGTCTAATAAGTAAAAATATCGAAATTTGTGGAAAAAGGACAAGGGAAAATTGGGTTAGGGCACATTTACATGTAAGTTGGAAAAAAATGTGTGCACAAGTCTATGGGAAAGTCTCCCTAATCACCCATTCTCGGTTATTATTATTATTATTCATATTATTCATATTATCATTATCTCATGATTTCAGAGCCAACAATATTCCAACGTATTGACCAATACTCACAATTGTAGTTGTAATCATTGAATGGATTATTGTCTTCAGGGCAAGACTGAGGATTCATCAACATCTTTAAGGCAAGCTAGAAATGAAAAACATGAAACAACAAAATCAGCAAAAACACACCACAGTGCGTTCACCTGTTCACTGCCCGCACATGCGAATGTCACAGGCCGTAAAAGATCAACTGTAAACCAAGTGTGCATCACCCCGTAGCTTTATAGCATCAGGAATACACCCGAGCAGAGATGCAACTCAGAAAGTGTTCAACTGTGCTTCCATAACAGGTTGTTTTTTTTTCACTGAGGGTATGGACTTTGTGCACAGAAGTACAAGTACCTTTTCAACGGTTTACGAAGGGAGGGTTGGAGGAGACCACCAGAAGGGATTGTTAAATGCACTGTCACCATAAACCTCACGCAAAGAAGCTACAGGTTTGTGAACAGTCAGTTATAATTAGTGATATTCTGCACTACAAGCATGCAGAGCAGTATGTGGGTACGTGCACTACATACATGTACACCCCGAGGACAGACAGACAGACAAAGGGAGAACAACAGATTCTTTGTTGTCCTCGAGCATTCATCATTGTTGAAAACGGTCCTCGATCATGAGTTTGTGTGCTTAGTCTATGGGAGAGTGTTATATTACAGGGACAAAGGAAAAGACAATGCCTTGTCCTCAAGAGTTATGTAAAGTAGGACTGTATGCGCACATGTTGTTCGTCCCTCTAACTTGGAGTCTTGAAAGTACCTCAAGGCAGGCGTGCACATCAGGGAATTTTTACATTGGCTTACATGTATGTAATTCCAAGATCTATGTTCTTGACACTCAATGGTTCCGAGTCCGGAGTGCTGAATGGTAACACATAGCAACCAATGAAAACTGACGTGCAAATGAATAGATGTGTTCAACCTACGCCTATTCCGGTAGTCATTAAGTGCAATGTACATGTACTGTTCATGCATAGTAGTCCATGCATAGTAGTCCATACACAGAGTCACACAACATGACTTCCTTACCTGTATGTCCCCATCTGCTCTGTGCAGACAGTGATGGGCATATTCCGTGTTCTGTGCCCCACCAGGTAAGGCTGCCGTTTTAGCCAACATCAGGAAATTGGTCACTGGCAAGGAAGAAAACAAACCACACGCGCGCCTTAACTATGGATGAACACGGGAGGAGTCTAGTTCACACAATACCCTTGAATGTAATGCAAGGTTTCCGCTGAAGTTACGGTACATGTGGCAGCGATCCTTTGTCGACATTCAAGCACTGTTGTGGCATTGGGCCTAGACTTTTGTGGTCAATGCACTGGAAGATTTTTGTTATCAAAATTTTCAGCGTTTTTTTTTCTCAGTTTCAACATTGTGGTAATTGATTCTGATTTCACCCCGAGTCACGAGTCTGATCATACAGGCTTGCCAAATTCCCACCTTCGAAAAAGAAAGGAAAAACTCAACAAAATTCCACTGATTACATGTAAGAAAGAATCACTGATAGGTCATTTATGACCTAAATTGTTTAGAAGTTGCACTCATCTTGCACTGAACCACCACAAACTACTGAAAAGCTCTATAGAGTCCATATTTGTAAGTAGAGCTGCCCAATATTAAAATGTAAAGCATGCCGGCAAAATGAGGGTCGAAATGAAGGTTTGCAGGAATAAAATTCTTCCTATTCCCCTTACAATACTGTTTGTTGCCCTTCAATTGGACATTCATTTGACAAGTTATGGCTGTTTAAAGTTCGCATTTATCGACGTGTCAAAAAGTAAAAGACTGAGAAAAGGGCCTTTAAACTTTTGAGTTTTGCAGTCGTGAAAATGAAAGATGCTGACTATTTTTCCTTGAAAACCCTTTTATCCCATTGTTTTCCTACTACTTCTTTAAAATATGTGTAGTAGACATATCGAGGATTATAAATATCACTAAATCTGAAATCAGCCTTTGCCCAGTTCTATCTCATTCTGCCAGAATGCCTAACAAATGCACATTGGGGTCAGCCTATCTTCAGAACAACTTTCCACTACCTGGAAAATCAACTCAAGGCAAAATAAATCAGCTACTTCTAAAAGTCAATTCCTAAAAAAAAAAACACCAGTGGAATCTTGATTTGGAGTTCATGTTGAAATCAATTCTGTGTGAGGCCGCGTCTGAATTACTTGGCACACGGATGGATAAATAACACATGGATCTATAAGGAAAAGTGACTGGAGCCGCTTTTATAGACGTGTGTGTCATTTCCAGCAGTAAACAAGTAAATTCAGTCACGTCCTGATCTTGGCGCGACCATTCCAAGTCTAGGATCCCGCCTACTCACCTTCACTGATGGTGTACTTTTCATTGACAGAAGGATCCGAAGCCAGCCAGCCCAGTCTATAATCAGGCTCCACAGATTCATCCCGACCCTCCACTGCAAAACAAAGGAACAAAACACAGATGTTTAACTCTGGATTATAGAAATAAACTGTACATGTAATTCCAAACTGAAAATACAACAGTTTTTTATGCTAGTGCATTACTTCTGATGGGAGCTCCAGCAAGATCTTATAAATTTGGTCGGTTATTTCACTTTATCTTGTGTAGTGGATTTTTCCCTCCCCAACAAGATAAACCAACCATTACAGAGATTACACAACCGAGTAATTAGTTCGACAGAGCGTCACTTGCCTAATTAACCTTATTCAGAATTAGTCAATTTTTGTTTTCACACAAACACAAACTCCTAGAGAAAACATTAGAGGAACAAGAAAGGAATGTACGCTGACCAAAATTTATAAGAGCATAAGTTTTCATCAATTTCTTCTCACGAGGGGTTAACAAGCAAATAGGTATGTATAATAATATGGAGTACTGTGGCCTCGTGGTTAAGGGCACTGATTCGTGGTCTGCGGGTAAAGCTGCAGGTTGTTGGTTCGAGTCCTGGCGGGGTCATGGTGCGTGTGCCCTTGGGCAAGGCACTTTGTCACTCATTGCTTCTCTCCACCCAGGAGTAAATGGGTACCTGAGAGGGCAGAGATGGTTATTGTGACTGAATTAGCTTCCTTGCGCCTAACAGGCAGCATCGAGCTGTATACTCCCCAGGGAGCTGAGATGGTATTTGGAATGTTTCATGTGCCCAATGAGCAGGGGTAATAATGATGTAGCGCCTTGAGCACCAGTCCTGGTGGATACGTGCGCTTTACTAATATCCACTATTATTATTATTATTATTATAATGTAGCTTTAGAGCACTAGCCAGACTGTACGTCAATAACATTAAACATACTAAATAAACATTCTGTACAATGTCAACTACATTTCGTTTAATGTTGGCTTATTTTGAAAAAAAATATATAATTACCTATCAGGTCAGGAATCGTGGCTTGGAATTCTGGCCCAACGTTGATGTGTCTGATAATGACAAAAAGTGGTTCAGAGTCAAATGAAATATGTAATCAATGATCTTTGACCCTTACTCTTCCAAAGTTGCCCAAATCCAACATCTTGAGTTTGCTACCAGTAGATCTGATAGATTCAGTACAGCGAAAGCCCTGCCACCATTTCTTGATATGGCACTTGATATCTTGATTATGTTCAGAGGCAGAGAAAGTGTTACAGTGTTATACTGCAGACTGATGGAGTTTTGGAAAATTTGGGGGACCTTAGCAGATTTATCTCGGGAGTTTGTATCAATGACAGGCATTTTAAGGTCAGTTGTGCATTTGATTAAGAAGTTTTTGTTTCACAACCCTTGTTTTGGGGGGCTGATCACTTCATATTGTGTTTTCTGTATTGCTCAGGTTTTTAAGGTTTGCATGATCGTTACATGTACTCAACTTGAATATGAAAACCTTCAAAGGTTATCAGGAATTTTCTATTTTTTATTTCAGCAGATCTTTTAAACTTACGGTTCAGCCGTGGAGAAGACAAAGTCTGAGACAGCCTCTTCAGGTGCAGCAGAGCTATCTACAGGCATAAACAAAATGCAAAGACTTGGTGAGAGGATGACCATTGTTGCAGATGATGCAAATATTAGCAAAACACAGGTAAGCTGTTGGTGGAGGTGAAAATGCTGCTGCCCGATGCTTAATACTAGTTAACCAGCTTGCACTAGGTACAAGAACTTGATGTTTTGCACACCTCACGACTTGAGAGACTAAACTTAGCAATTTTGTGTGAACGATGATATTTTTGGTTTCAAAAGCGACAGGCTTCTAGTAAGAATCCCCTTACATGTACTTTGTCGAGGGAAAATAGAATGCTCTATGGATCACCGAGGGAGGCTAGTATTACTACACCATGAGATAAAGCAGTCAATATTTGTTTTATAACGCCTCTCCCACAGATTCTGCTTGATTTTAAGCGATAAATGATTTATTTAATCTGAATAAAATTAAAATGTACTTCTATTTGAATACAAAATGAGTTGAAAATTAACTCGAACTTTTCCAAACTACCCCTTCACGAAATGTTTGAACCCAGATCTGTAGTGCTAGTGCTTGGGAACAATACGCACAACGCACACGACCGTATGCATTTGCACACAATGCATATAGTACTCGCTCTCGGCCAATCAAGATACAGAATCTGTGGGTAAGGTGTTGCAAAAATCTAATCTGGATGATATGAAAGAATTAATGAATTGTTCTTCAGCAGATGATTTCAGTGAGTTTCTGACGAAGAGTAGACAAGAAAAGTTACTTACTTCTGCGATGCATGGACATCATGCTTGGAGTCTTGGGTGTCATCGATGGCATGGGCAACGGCCCAACATTGAAATACAAGCCAGGCCCACTGCGGATTGGGCTCAGCATGGGTGGAGGCGTGTATGGGGGAGGGGTGGTGCCAGACCCTGAAGAGCGATAGGGGTGATGCGGGTAAAAGCCTCCCAGTTCCCGAGGTGATCTCATCTGTGACTGGTAGGTGCCCGGGATGATTCCCCCTGGCGTCCCTGTATTGACACATGAGGGGATGTGCAAGGGGGATGGGCGTGGTCTCTTTTTAGTCGGGCTGGGCTGCGTGGGAGGCGGGGGATTTCTAAAGACGTTCTGATCTTCAGATGGTTTAATGGCCTCCAGTCTTGGTGGACTGAGTTCGTGCTGTCCTGCAGTGGTGAAAAGTGGCGCTACTGGCATCTGCTGCTGCTGCAGCTGCAGCTGCTGCGGCGGCACAATGGCCGTAGGCGTGACTGGCTCCGCCTTGACAACCATCTGAACAGTTTGCGAGGTTGTTGCTGGGTAGGTCATGGGGACAGAAAAAGGCATGTCCTTGACATGACTGATGGGCATGGGCATCAACTGAGGATAGGAGCTAGGCAGCTGCTGGGAGTGGTGATGAGGATGCGAGAAGGAAACGTCCGAGAAAAATGGGTTGCTGGGCTTGGGGACACTGGCCATGTTGAGTTCCCTCTTGACCTGGGCCGGCAGGTCTATCTGCTGAGGCCGGAGCTGATTAAGGAGAGGGGGCATCTGGGTCATAGGGGGAAGCTGAGGGAGTCCCGACATTGGCATTGGAAACGACGGGCCTGGCACGGACACATGAAGGGCTGGCTGGGTCTGGCTGACAGGGGCCTGATTGACCATCATAGACTGGTGGTTGGGGATGGAGTGGGTACTAGGTGCCGAGGAGGACGACGGAGGACCTCTGGTGTCTGGAGTGGATCGGGCTTGGCTAGTCCTTGGAGGGGTGGGCGCTTGCTGGCGGTGAGCCATTTTTGAATGATCCCCTTTGTTCATGTCTGTGGTCTCCCCTCTAGCATTGTTGTAGCCCCCATGGAGCCTCATGTGTCCATTCAATGCTGGCATGCTCTTGAACATTCTTTTACACACTGAACACTCTACCGGCTGCTGGCTTTTCTCTTTACCATCAGAGCTGCAAAAGAAAACAGATCTCATCAGGTAAGCATGGGGCAATTTCTCAGATTGGAGAATCAACCAAGTTACATGTAATGTATGCATTTCGCACGCACAGAGTTAATGAAACAATTCAATTGCAAATTAGCTGCATATGTATCTGCAAATTAGCTGCAAACATGTATGTGCATGAAATGTACTCGCACACATGTTTATGTCCTAATGTGTATCTCATGTGTAGGCTACTGAGTGTCATCTTCATTTCCTGTAGAAAGTCCCTTTATCTTCTTACCTCTTAGCAGGTGATGGGCCTCTGGGTGATGGCTGCCTGACGTCCACAGCCATGGTTGGGATGCTTGCTAATGCACGTCTTGTACTTGTGTTGCCTGACAAAGTAGACATAGTGGTGGCTAACCTAGGGGCAGGGATGCTCTCCATGATCAAGTTCCTGGGGTTGGACAGGCCTTCGTACTGGCTCGTCATATTCCAAGAGCTGGACGACAGCTGGTTAGTGCCCGAGGGATTAATCAGGTCAGTAAACCGGTGCAATGTAGGCAAATCCTGAGGCACGGGGATCTGAGGGTTCAGCGTCATGGCTTCTGACTGGTTGTTGGGCGAGGTAGCCGAGATGGGAAGGTTGGTTTGGGCTCGCTGCGCCGCCTGAGCCAGGAACTGGAGAGCGGCACTGGAGCTGGAACCCTGACCCTCGGAGCTTTGACTGTTGGTACTGTTCATACCACCCCCTTGCTGTTGCTGCTGCTGCTGCTGCTGATGATGATGATGTTGTGGTTGTTGCTGCTGCTGCTGCTGTTGCTGCGGTGACGGCTGCTGCATCAGCCCTCCCTGGCCAAAGTTATTGACAGTCAGGCTGCCTATGACCGGCATGCTGGATAAGGTATTAACAGTGCTCATGTAGGATGCCACCGAGTTGGTTGGTAGACCCGAGGGCTGGCCCTGGGCCTGGGCCTGGGCTTGTACGGCAGCAGCCTCCTCGGCAGCAATCAGTTCAGGATCCCTCTCGTCTCCCGTGTACTTCATGTGTTCTTCCATGACCAAGCCATGATGCTGGGACTCAAAGTGTCGCCGTAGGGAGCGGATGTCGCAGTAGGACTTGCTGCAGTCCGGTACCGAGCACTCGTAGGGTTTCTTGCTACGATGTGTCAGCATATGACCAGCTCTGAAAAACAAGGGGGAAAAATAGATAAAATTCTTCAAAACCACTTTATACAGCACTTTCTTTATGCTGCCAATGCAAAAAAAAATGCTATGCAATCTACGGAAGTACCTTTTAAGAAAATGTACAACGGAAAAATGTTGTTACGTTCTGGTCCCACAATACCGAATATAAAAAAAAAAAACTCAAGACATAAAATAACACCTTGTCTCCCACTAAATGAAAGGGAAAGAATTCCACGGAAGCGGATTATGCAAGTATGAAAGGGAAAGAATTCCACGGAAGCGGATTATGCAAGTAAATCAATCTAAACATGTTTTGAAGAAAAAAAAAATTACATCCTATATCATTGTTGTGTTTGTTGCCAGTCAGAAAAAAAAATGGCATGCACCTCAAATATAAAGTGATCACCTCTTCAAGGTCATGTGCAAGTACATTGTACATGTATGTGTAAACATTAAAAACCGAAACTGCCAAAAGATTACGAAATTCAATTTACCGGTAAGTACTTGACTGTAAGAAAATAATAGTCTCAAGCATCCTGTGAAATCATTGCACCCTGGTATGCTGTCATGTAAAAAAAAAGTGGAATTTGTGCATCAAAACAGCCCAGTGGAACGATATTTGTTATAAAATACTAACCCCCAAATCCGTCCATTTCTGACAATTACAGTAATTTAAGCAAATATATGTCTGTTACATACCGGTACCTGCATGTACCTTTAAATTACTTCATTATCAACAAAACACATCTGTTAATGTTATTAACACATGTAAAGTTCTGCTTGTAATTGTTTAGATTCGACGTAAAGTAACAGTGAAGCATGGTACCGGTATCTGTAAGGAGTAATGTACATGTATGACAACTTGCCCAGATCCTAACACCCAGATGGTCAACCAGATTGTCAACACAGCCCAGATAGTTATTTTTGCAAAGGAAAGTCAATGGATGTAGAGCTTTGGAGAGGAACTGATCAGTCACACCTTTGTCTAAACCATATCCTGTCTTGAATGTTATTAGCAGTGCCCCTGTTAAAACGAATCTGAAGTGCTGAAATATTTCGAGTAGAAACGACAACTTTCATGACAGGTAAACTGAAATTTTTATCAAGTAAATGGGGTTGCAAAAAAAAAAAAAAAAAACGGGTTAAAAAGGTACACTGTGCAACCCAACTCTTTATTTCTGGTACCGGTATGTTTTTCATTGATAAAGGCAGCCTGATAAGTTTATTCATTTATTTTTCACAGCCAACAGAAGTTGATAGCGAAATTGGGTCAACACATCTTCATGTACATACACACGTACGGTACATGGGAAAAACGCCATTTAAAAAAAAATGTGTTCAGTTGGTGTAAAAGGCTACTCAAGAAAGGACCCCAACTGATCAGGAGTGCTGAAAAACATAGAAACCCCAATCAGGCCAATTTTTCCTGACCCTTTTTTGGCAAAATGTAGGCCATGTCTGAATGAAAGGCCAGGGCTGGAATTACACTCACGCCTATGGATGCGGCTAGCTGCAGCCACTTCCCATGGAGTTGTGTGTTACAATCCATACTGGTTTATCCAGCCGTAGTCAAGTAATTCGGATGCGGCCATTTTCTCCACAATGCCAATATGTTTCGGATGATTGAGGTCTCAATTCCTATTTCAAAAACTCTCTTCAACCTCTTACACGTACATTAGACAGCATACGTGTAATTTGAAGTGCATACAAGACTAGACTGGCACATACAATGTATCCAACTTTTTGAAGAGATGAATCATTTAACTAGTCTGGAAAACATTTCTGCGCAAGAACAGATAAGATGCAGTAACGTACCGGTACATACATGTATTTCTTTTGACGCACTGCATTGGCTCAAGAAAAAAAAATTTGTCCCTGCTAATTTTGACTTTTTAGGACATATTATCACTTCCTGCTGGCTGAAAGGTAATTTAAGGGGAAAATTACTGATGGCCAGATATGAAAATCTTTCCAGACGTCTTACCGGTACCACTCCACCAACGAACTGGCCAGGGTCAGCTGGCCAGTTCCAGTCTAATGTGACCAAACTGTTTTTGTCAAGAAAAGGTGTAATTAGAAGCACAGACATCCCAATTATCCCTTCTACAAACAATGCCATAATATTAATACTCAAAGCATATTTGACTGACCATGGACTAGTAAATGAATCACAAAAACAAACTGACACAAATTAAAAAACCAACACACCAACAGATGCCAGTTTTTAAGTTGTGTTTTGAATAACGCATGATGTGCACATACAATGTACCGGGTACATTGTACATGTACATGTACTTCAAACAACTTCACACTAACAATCCTCACAACTCAACATACCGTACCCACCGGTACAAAACGCTGTTACATTTTGTAAATCCCTCAAAAGGCAATAATCTTTACTTCTGCCAATGTTAATAGTCTACAAATACAATCTTGACAGCCAAACATGTGCACGTAACTGTTCATGTACCAAACATACTTGTATCAGTAGGTGTACTCACATTGAACAGGAACCCTTACAGTCAAGTCAATTTACACACATGTGGAACCTTAAGGCGCTATACTAGTGATGCATTGTAAGGAAACCTTTTGTGTTGACCTAGCTTTATGCAAATGAGGCACTTGCTTCACTACACTAAACCTCTTTCAAGATTAGGCACCCTGCATCTGCTCAAAGTTTTGAATGAATGAAATGCATGACATGAGCAGGAATGTGATAAGAAAAAAAAACTAGAAACCCCTGTTCTTTATTTCTTCAAAAAAACAAAAACAATAAAATTGTAACTATGGAAAAACAAACAAATTGGTTTCATGAATGGTTGAGCAGTGGCAAACAGTGTGTCTACTCCCAGACAGAAACGTGCATGACCTTTACTGAGCCATCACATGATCAATAGTAGTACAATAGTAACTCTAACCATGCAGTGAATAGAGGCTGGGCACACCTGGATCCTGTGCTGTGTAGACCCAGCGTGCTGACCCTGGAGTATCCAGGGCCTGATAATCACAGGCAAAGATGATGAGACAGCTCACTAGAACTGACAATCAATACTTATAGTGTGAGGGTGTTATGTAACAATTGACATACATGTACATGTCCCTATTATTCCTGAAGTCCTTGTTTGACCATGGAGGTACTGGCGCAAGAACATTAACCATCATACGGGTAGCTCATTGTTTTGAATTTTGCGCATAGATTAAAATGTACAAGGGTTGATACCGGTTTATTTCAGAGAGAAATCTAAAGATTTCTCGGTACATGATCTAATGTACATTAAGATGTTTTTGACGGTGTTATATCAGAGTGTTTTTAAAAATACTAACCAAAAAAACTGCATCAGAAACTAATTTTTTCAAGAACCGTTTATTATTTTTGTTTTTTAAAGTTCCCTTACATGTGAATTCCTTAGATATTGATGACTATAAGAACTGGGAGGTCCCTAATTAAGGAAATTCTAAGCTGCATTCATAATATTATTGTGTAAGACTTTTCTTGGAGTGGCAATACCGGTACATGAGAAGTTGAAAACAACTTACATGATGTGATCAGCTGATTCAAGGGAAAATTTGCATGCAAAAGATGTCTCTGATTGGTATTTTTTCTGAAACTGCACATGTATCCATAATGTGCATACATCTATACAATGTACAATGTATCTGCATGGAAATGTACGCATACATGAACATGTACAATGCACATGTACAGTACAGGACCTCCGGGAACGGGAAAAGAGAAGTGACTGTTACCGGTACTTTAAACATTACTCCCCCATGCTTGGAAATACCACATGCGCCTATCCATACAGTTGAGCCTTATTGATGTCTACAGTATCCAGGGTTCTGCTCTTTCACACAAATCTTGAGCTTGAAGTTGAAGTTGACACATGTGCAAAATCCACAGCTCTGTTTGTGCACAACTGACAAAGGTTTACATACCAGTACAACAAAAAAAGTTCTTTTGTTCAGTCTGAAAGTAGTGCAAAATATTCCCCCTCTCCCCCCCCCCCCCCAAAAAAGAAAAAACCTTTAGTAATTCATCTTGTTTTAGGATAGTACACATACATGTACCGATATATTTCAATCAAATTGGAAAAAAAAAAAAAAAGCAATCTGTGACATTCTATTGGTTACGCAAATCCATTGAACATTGTTAGCCTCAAGTACCGCTGGTACACAGGCCTACATTGTATTTCCCACTTCTTATTAAGCAAATTCTACGTACCAGGTATTTACAAATGTACCATGAAACTCAGATTTTTACATTATAAACTCTTTTTTTTTAAATATAAATTATACAAAAAACACTGACCCTTTGAATTTTATGTACATTGAACAGCTGTTGAATATGTCTTTGTATCTTCATGCGAGGCATGTGATTTCAACTTCTGGCATTGTTAATTCTACCCAAATTCTACCAAAATGCTACCCAAACCAGCCTACCGGTCCGGTTTACGGGTACAGGTACTCAGTACATGTAGACCAATGTTCTTTTCTCTCCACTTTTCAATGGGAAACTACCGGTATACCTGACAAAACCAGTGCTTTACTGGGAAAGTACCGTAGCAAAAATGTAATGCATGCCCAGACCTGTCTTCATGTACATGAACCGGTATTTCTGAGCAACACGACACAGAGCTCCCGACCCAACCCCCAAGGCTCTACCACAAAAAAATGTCACAAGTTGAGTCATTCATGTCCAAATTACTTTACAACACACAGTGCATGCACTGGCAAAAATGTTCAATGCAGATTAAAAAGAATGAAACTTTCTTTAATTTGTTTTCAGTTTGATACAAAATATGTATGTATACATGTACATGTACATACATGTACATTGTACATGTAAACATGTACAAAACAATTGTATTAAAAAAAGAGAAATTAAATGTCCACTTTGAGAGCATGGTACGGTAGGATGTTTTAAAAGTTATTTCAGATATCTTCTGAATATAATTTCTAGGCAGAAAACATTTGAGGTTTACCATTAAAAGAAGTCATAAAGATTTACAAATTGTTTATTTCACATTTCCAAATTCTGCCTATCTGCTGGTGCACTCTCTCACAACAAGTGGTTGGGCGAATACACACAAACTACATGTAGTTACCAAGAAAATATTTCATATCAGAGGGCCTAACAATATCACCTGTCATCCTTTCATGTGTATAAATCATTTCTGGTTTTAACTTTCAACTAAAATTAAGAAAGACACCACAATTTATAAATGCAGTAAAGTGTTCTGGAAAACTGTCCCAAACTAATCTCGAATTAAATATGAAAGAAATTCACGCATTCAAAATTAGTTATTCGCAGCTTGATACAAATAAGTGACAGACAACAAAAACCTGACCCTGTGTATTTACAACTGTTCAAATGTTGTGGTCACAACTTGGTGGCTGAGGTCAACTTGTTCTGGTTCCTGCAGTGCAAACTGAAAGCGTGGTGAACGGACTTTTCCCTCCAGCTGTCTGTGTGGCTATGGATGCATGACAAAAGGTCTCTGGGAAAATATGCAGACAATGTCTGACAACGGCGGCGTTAACTAATAGCCCAAAGAATGCCAGGTTCCACCATTAGTTTCATTTTCTCCCATTGCTTTTGTTGCTGCCGGAAAAGCAATTTGTACAAATGAACAGTGTTCATGCATACATGTATTACATGTAGCTGTACATGTAGGTTTATTACACAGGCACAAAGAGGACAGGTGTGCAACCGCACACGCGATACAAGAAGTGTTTTGAGGAACAATTCAAATGACAGGCCATCATGGGTGTTCAAATTTACCATGAACAGAATAAATGCTGTCCAAGTTGAAGTTTTAAATGTTGTACATGTATGTGTGTACGCTGCCTATCAAATAGGGTGTCCCACAAATGACTAGACACTCCTTTGGCAAAAAAACCTTGGTGTACAGTGTATTGTCAGTAAAAGCCAAAGTTAGTTGAAATAATGTTGGCACTGCTACCGGTAAGTGGGTCATTCCACCGGGTTGGGAAGCAGTGCATGTTACATCCATATATTTGGTTATATTATAAAAAGTATCAATGCATTCTAAGCAATTGCTTAACATAATATTTGTCTTAGGGTGTTTCAATACTTGAGAGAGTTTGAAATCATAGCAGAAACAATACCTCAAGTGTGGATGTAACGGTGTAAAAATCACTCAATGGAAGTGTGACATTTGGGTTTTACACCGTTTGTAAATGTTACGTCCACACAACCAAGCTATCATTTCTGCTCCATTTGATACCTGACTACCATAACAAAAGCTTTTCTTATTGTGTTGCATACATAGTAAGAAGTACGCAAAGTGAATTTGGATGTTTCGCAGAAATTTTTAAAAAGTTACAAATGTCGCATTTGGACCTAACACTTACACGGTGCCAATGTTACGTCCAAAATGACATAATTTGCTCATATTTTTGGCAAAATACATTGAAATCATTTCAAACTTTCTGCAGTAGTGAAACACCCAACAACGAATATTATGTAGAGCAACTGCTAGCAAGGCATTCATGCTTTTCTTAAAGGTATAGTCCATCATTTGTAATTTGTGCATTTTGTTCGTTTGAAGCAACAAAAGAGTTCAAAATCTAATGAAGGATACTGAGCAACTAACCTGATGAAGTTTCAGCTAAGCTTCAGCTGTACATTCCGAGAAAAACAGCATTCTAAGATCTCAATTTCAAATCAAAAGTTGCTGAATCATGTTTTGAATTGTTTTGAATTGCAACTATACGCGACGTCGCGCACTGATCCGAATTATAACAACCGCGCGCGCGTGTGCGTCGTTCGAATACTTGTGCGCGCTTCGCTGAATAACAAAACGAACTACTAATTTAAATTTTCCTACGGTGCTTCTTAAGAATCACCGTTGGAAATGCCTTCTTTCGTTGATTACTTCAAAATGACAGCTTCCCAGAAAGAATAATTTCACAGGGAGTTTAGTCCCCTTACTATCTTTCAACCAAGTTAGTTTTTCAACAATCATTACGCCAGTTACTTCTCGGATGGCTGCAAATGATGGACTCTACCTTTAATATGGTCATATGTCACACATTGTTCCCCAACCTGTTGGAATGACCCAACTCCGTCTACATAACAGTGCATCTTTTGGGATGTGTTCTGCATTTGCAGTGTATTTGATACTAAAACAATTCAAGTCAAGGATTTCCAAGTTGACTAAACGAAAGTCACCTCTTATATGGACTCCATGCACGAACAGTAAATGGCAGTTTGTTACCATTTTTGAAAGCCTCAATGGGCATAACACATCGCGTGCACAGATTGTTTGTGTGCATGGGGGCCGTATCATAAGTTCGACGCCTCATACGTCCGACACACCTCACAGGTCCGACGCCGACGCCTCATACACAATGTAGGTCCGATGCCTCATAAGTTCGATGCCTCATAGGTCCGACGCCTCATAGGTCCGACGCCTCATAAGTCCGACGCCTCATAAGTCCGACAATGGACAAATTCTGTTTCGGAATTATGAGGCGTCGGAGCTATGAGGCATCGGTCTTATGTGGCGTCGGACCTACGTACGGGTACATGGCGTCGGACCTACGTACGGGTACATGTACACACATATGTACATGTACACATGTACAATGCATGAGGTGGGATACATACATTTTATGCCTCATAAGTCCGACGCCTCATAAGTCCGAAATTTTAGACTTATGAGGCGTTGCACATACATGTATGAGGCGTTGGACTGACATGTATGAGCGGACCCCCGTGTGCATATGGCATAAAGTACGGTACATCGTAGGATTTTTTTTTCTGATTCTGCACAATTTGACATTCGCATGAGCCTCAGGCATTGTTAGCAATGCGTATGTACATGTATGTCCCTCCCACTGATCTCTATATAAAGACTGGATAGCGGATATGCATACAACATTCACACAGCAGACTTCGCACATTGACCAATTCGCCCCCGGTCTCACGAAGATGGCCGCGTATAATACGAACGTTCTACGCGTAAATACGCGCGCGTTGTATCAACAGTTGACGCGCATTTTGGTCACGTACACATATTATGATGTTCTAGAAGGGACACATTTCCGTAGTGATTATTATTTCAAAACGCCGAAAAAGTTATATTTGCGGCATTTTAGTAACCACGACGTTAGAAAAATTGTAGTTAACCTTGATCAGTGATGGTGGTCAAAATATAAGTCAAGTGAACTGCGACGTTACAAAAGAAATCATGCTGTCTATAAAAACGGCAACTTGTCCTTTGTAGATCACCAGCCGGTCTCACCAATATGGCGTCAAATTCGTACATTGTGCGGCTCTGTATTAGCTATCCAGTCTTTATATAGAGATCAGTGGTCCCTCCCAATGGTCTCTCCCAACTCTTCCTTTGTGACCGTTGAGCGGGTAGGTACAGTGTATGAGAACAAAGGAACATATTCAGATATTTCAACATTTTTTTTTGCTGTAATTATCAGAAATGGATGGATTTGGGGGTTAGTACATTGTATACACTGACCTCTCTAAGTTTTATGTTCAAAGATGCTGGGGGAAAAAAAGAAAGAAAACATGCTGTTCTTGTAGTCTGGTTCCAGGACCCTACCAGTACTTCAGGTAAAACGGGACAATCGATAGACTTCGGAGAATTGTCAAAGTCAAGGAACCAAACTACAAAATGTAGCTGGATTGCGCCCATTCGAGGAGACTGTGTGTAACTGACTGCAAACAAAATGTGATATACCTAAATTGGGTAAACTGGGGGCAGTACTTGAAAAAAAAGTCAGTTTTGTAGAAATCAATACAAAAAAAATCCACTTGCGCCATGATTTCACAATCAAAGGTTAATTGAGACTATTTTTCACTTACAGTCACGTACGATATTTTATAATAATTTTGTTGTTTTATGTTTGCAAATGTTGTTACCTTTAACATCATTTCCTTTGGTTTTGACATTCAAGCTTAACCCTAACCTTCCTGAATCCTCCAAAATCCTCTTTGCAAAATGGAGGTACATATAGCTTAAAAAAATGATTCTCCAGCCAAAGATGAAAAGCCAAGCCTGAGATTTTGGAGTACCCCCTTATGTACAATACCGTGTGCTTCCCCAACCATACCAGTATACAGTATTTAACTTTTCTCATTAATTTAACCCTAACTCCCTCGGCATTTTTCCAAGAAGTACCGTAGGCTAACCTCAACCCTGCAAAATCCTCCAACTGCCTTCATGTAAAAACAGCATCAGCCTCAATCCTGCAATATCCTCCATTTTGAAAAGATGATTTTGGAAGGTTAGAGTTGACTTTTCATAGGAACGTCTTGGTACCAAACACTGAAGTTATACCGTCTTGTCACAGACTCCCGTGTTAGTATTTATTTACCTACTTGTTAAGTGCGTGATCGATCAAACGGAAGTTGACGTCAATATTTTTCATCTACTTATAGTCATTAATGCGCATAATTAATTCAATATGTTGCAAATTGTGAGCTTTCTTATCTATCACAGAACCCTTTCATTGCCCTGGATTGGATAAGCCTAGACAGGACATTAAATTAGTGCCAAAAAAAAAATTTGCCACTACAGACGGTGTAGATCCTAAACTGTGGTGCCTGGATGGACGATATTAATTCCCGTAAAATCTCACAGGTTTTTGAGGTCAACTTGCACACTCTATTTGCAATTTCGGACACCTTAAACCAGGGAGAGGTCTTGAGGGACAAAGCACTTACAAATGGTCCTGTCGCTTGAAGCTCTTGGCACACAGCACACACTTGTGCCTGCGCTCGCTGCTGTGTATCAGCTTGTGCTTGGCCAGGGCGCTGGAGCTGCCAAAGATCTTGCCGCACACCTGGCAGGGCTGGGAGTAGCGATGGCCCGGGTTGCGTGATGGTGGCCGGCCCTTACGACGGGGCGGCACATCTGTACTGCAGCCATCATTGGTGACCCCTGCAAGATGTCAAACACAGAAATACAAAAACTTGCAAATTATGATTGATTTTTGACCAGTACTTTGTGCGTTTAGACTTCAGTTAAAATATGCCACACACTGCAAAAACAAAAAATGATTCCAACAAAATAATTCCCAACATGAACAAAAATGTGAGTCTTGAACTGCCTTGCCATGAATGTGTTTCCAACTGTTTTTATGTCCTATGGCTATGCTATGCAATGCCTTTGGGTGGATGTTGTAGGCCATTTCCTTCACTGGGTTCAATGCCGCTAAAATTACAAAGAAAGTACACAGTTATCTACTCATAAGCAAAGAACAACCAATGCTATGCAAGTACCGGTACACGGATCCTTCTAATAACCACGTCCCTATTATCACTGTTTTATTTTTAGACAAGCTGATTTACCCGATCATAGATCGGGTAGGGCGTATTTGTGTTGGGGTTGAAAGTGTGGGGATCGAGTTAAATGTAAATGGGGGATTTAGTTGAGTAGACATGTAGCTATAGAAAAGCAATTTACGGTGACGCGATCTGAGGCAATTTCTGACCACGTACGATAGTAAAACAAAAGATCATCTTGTAAACATCATTTTCGAGTTTGGAGTCATTGAATCAGCTGTTCTGAGCAAAAGAATATTATAGTAGGCTACAATTTTTATTCGGGGAAGAAAAAGTGGGGGTAGGGAACCAAACGATATTGCCCGCTTTAAAATGTTGGGGTGGGGGTCCCCCGTCCCCCACCGATTGACGCCGCGCCCATGATAATTATGTACCATGGCAAAACTGTCTGTAAATTTTGCCGTTGGTCTGTTAAATTGCATTTTGTGAGGCAGTCGCGTTTGTTAATGTGGGAAAACTGAGTTGAAAGACTTACCGTATAGTACACAGGCGAAGGCTGATTGTACTGTTTTGACAATAAATCATAATGGAATAAAACGTGAAGGTGGCATTTGCAATAAAAATGTTGAGTGTGTTACCATAAAATTACATAGTCTGAATCATGGAGGAAGGTCATTATGAAGGTACAGTATTGGACTCTTCAACAAACGTAAACTTGAACTTCTTACAATTTGCGAGACCTACGAGGAAAAAGTCGATTTAACATTTTATTCAAGTTGGCATGGTTCAACCATAATATAAGCAAGGCCAAACAGCCAACAACCGCCAATATTATTATTTATGCACTCTTCGTTATTCCAACCCAACATAGTTCAAATAAGATCACAATATTTGAAGCAATGCATCAATCCCTCGTTGATTTACCCGATCATAGATCAGGTAGGGCGTAGAGTTGGGGATGGAAATGTGGGGAGATGAATGTAACTGGGGGATTTAGTTGAGAAGACATGCAGTTATAGAAAAGCAATTTCTGTGGTGCGATCTGAGGCAATTTCTGACCACTAACAATTATGTACCATGGCAACAGTCTGTAAATGTTCCCGTTCTGTTAAATTGGCATTTTGTGAGGCAGTGGCATTTGTGGGAAAACGTACTTGAAAGGCTTGCCGTAGTACACAGGCGAAGGCTGATTAAGAAGGTCATAATTAAGTTTCAGTAAATTGGACTCTTCAACAAACGTAAACTTGAACGTTTTACAATTTGCGAGACTGTCTGCGAGGAACTTGTCGAGTCAACTGTTATTCAACTTGGGGCAACCACCTATATAAGAGCAAATTTTACTCGGCCTCCGAGAAATGTTTGCTCCTGAAACGATCTGAGACCGCGGTCTTTCGCGACGCCAAAATCGCTCCACGTCCGTGGAAAAATGTGGAGGGTGTCTTCCGCCGGATCGGACACATTTTCGTTGATTTTTTGTGTGACTGCGTTTAAGATCGCGATGTTTGAAGCAATGCATCGATCCTTCGTTGATCCCAGACAGGCCCCCGAAATTATAACGCAACACTGTGGCGGGCAGCGAACTCACAACGCTCAGCCTTGGTGGAAGCATGGAGCTGTATTAACACACGATGGAAGCAACAGAGCACTATACACGTCACTCACATGCTTGTGCTTCAAATCATGCAAATAGCGAGCACCGTAGACCCAACCTCGTTTCCAGGGTGTGGAGCAGGCTGCAGTACGCGTTGCCATCGACAGTTTTGCATAGCCCGGAAATACTACGCAGTGTAGACTTTCGATTGGTCAGACCGCGCAAGGCATACTTAAGTGTAGTCCTTCTGAGTATTCGTTGCACACGGCGCAGGGGCGGCAAGCGAAGCATATGAAAGAATAGGGGCACTTGGTGGCCACGCACCATGGAGAAAAAATATTTTACCAAGGTCACCCCATAACACAATTTGGTGAACGATTTTGCAGAACGGCTGAGTAGAACACGTAAACAAAACCCCTACGTTGACCTCGCTGACCTCGCACAGTCTAGACACGCAGAGAAGCCAGCACAGGGGGCGGCCAGGCAGTCAACGTGAAAGCGCACACGACGGCAAATTCCTGCGAAAAAGGCAGTCACGAAAAATCGACGAAAAGGATCGCCGGTCCGTACGGGAAAATCAGGACGACCCGAAGTGTCCGACCCGGCGGAAGACACCCTCCGTATTTTTCCACGGACGTGGAGCGATTTTCGCACAGCGGGAGCCCGCGGTCTCGGATCCTTTCAGGAGCAAACATCGTCTCGGGGGCGAGTAAACTTCTCTCTTATATATATAGACTTTGCAGAATACATGTACATTTGTGTACATGATTTTGTATTCAAGCTGTAGTGTTATTCTGTACTGCACATCCCATACCAAGTAACAAACAGGATGTTAACTGCATTCGTGACAGGATGCAATCTGGAGCTCAAATTGAGATATTCAAAGAACCATGACCAACATTTCGCAATCACATCTGTTAACTTCAAAAACCAAATCACAAAAACGGAAACCTGAAGCTAGATTTTATGACGTGTAATCTTTACACAGAAGAATGTAATTGCCATGCTCATAGTTTTATGGATTAGTCACCAATGCTTTTTGTATCCAAAAAATTCTTCAATTTGCCCCAAGTCCAGTTGTCAACAAATTCAACGGAAGAGTGCTTGCAACCTTACATTTTAATTCAGCTTTTTTTTTTAACGGAGAGAACAAAAATTGGCCTCACAATTTGTTTCTGTTCGTACAGTAAACTTATGATGAACAAGAGTTCCTGAACCCCTCAATCGATGCACGAGTTTACAGTTTTTCATCGGTACAAGATGGCTTTGGTTCGGGAACCTATTCAAGACAAATATTTTTCGAGCCCCGAGATAATTTTTGCCGTATAGATGATTGCGGTACGCTTCATGTACAAAAGCAGTGCAGTGTCAAAGGCGTACAGTGAATGTTAGACTAACGAAGCAAATTACTTTGAAAAGATTGTGATGATCTTGGGATTGCATTTTAAACTGATCGTCACTGTCACGGAGATGATATTCAGCACAGTAGTGAATCAGTAGACAGCACAGAAGAGTTCCCATACAAGATGACTAATATCCCCCCAACACTACTGCTGCCTCAGGATCAGGATCTTGGCACAGAAAGTGAAGTTTATGCACGAGACTGGCGTGTGCAGTAAAACTGCTCACAGCCCTGCGCATTGACTACCGTACATGTATACTGCAGTTATGAGCATCATAAGCAGTGAGATTCCATTTGAAGGAGAAATAAAATATTCTAATTCCGGAATGTTGCAATCTTTGGTTTATCCCTGGTACAATGTACAAGGTATAATATATCCCTGCGCTAGCAGGATCTAACAATGCAGGTTCATGTAGGCTTCTGACTGTGGATAAACATGCACAGTTAAATCTCCATTCAAATATACCACAAGAAATCTACAAACATATGAATACCTGAGGCCATGAACTCGGGTGTGACAAGTCTCATCAGTCAGTGCACAAGCCCCTCCATCATCAGTGCAGTTCCATTCCACACTCGGCTTGAAAACCAAGCAAGTTTTCTTTATCTCCGGTTCCCTTGCCCTCATTTAAAATCCGCATGACACCCACACAACAAACAATGACAATCGCTGGATACACACACACGCACGACACCACCACCACCACACAGGTTGTGACTACTATGACGCAGCTCCAATAATAAAATGTTAAAACCCAGGTAGAGTGGTAGTGTGGTGGCACCAACGTGCACCGGTCCACTCAAACACAACACAAAGGATAATGTACACGTATTATCTGTGGAGTACATGTAAGGGGTGAAAAAATAAACGCCGGTAACACTGCCAACACATTCAAGGTCTGCAGAATGAAATGGATCGTTCCCTCCACAGATTAAAGTTCAGTGCAGTGTGAGGTCATCAAAGAGCTGAGAATACCATCAGATCAGATTAACACAGCTTCCCAGGGAAACAAAAGGATGCCGCCTCTGTGGTAGAACAAGTGTGAGTCCCTGTGTACACGTAATGTGTGGTGTACATGTACCTACAACAATGTAGGTCGTATCTAGACAGCCCTGCACCAGTGGCGATGAACTTCATGTAAATTGTGTTGGGGTCATGTACATGTAAACAGGGTTGGGGTTTACCTTGAAACGGCCAACCCACCCAGGCCTTGCCTGGCTGTATGCTGCCAGGGTCATGTCTGGAAGTAGACCTCCTACCAACTTGGCCACCAAAAATATTGTTTCTTCAACTTGGCCCTTGGAAAGTTTTGCCTGTGCTGTACATTTTTTTTTTTAGGGGGGGGGGGGGGGGTTGAGGGGGTGAAGGGAGGGGGGGGTTATTGTGCATACATGTATGTATGCTGTTATTCAACAGTGGCTTTTAAATTAAAGGCATGCCAGTTTTTTTTAAGTTCATCTACACTTCTGAGCTCTTTTGAAGTTCATTAACAAATGAAATCAATATCATACATGTATAAATTCACAACAGTAACAGTGGAGTTGAAACAGGCGTCTTTGCAAGAAGTATTTTTTAAAAATTCAATACTACGTATGTATGTTAATTTTTTTAAGCAATTTAAAATGTGGTACAAAGTTTTTTCTTCATTTTTCGTTATCAAAA